TATTTAACTCAATTTTCAGCACTGCGAAAGCAAATTTTCATTTGAGATGCCTGTTTTTCAAATGACATTGACATAAGACCTGTCAGCCGCTAGTACTTCACAGACGTTAGGCGACTACCCGTACCACGTGATTTTTTACATTCGGACGACGTCACATCCGTCTTTCCCTATTCCCGTTCTTCGCGAAAATTTGAGCATCGGTTCCCGGTAGTGCACTGTGGTACACCGTGGACTCGCGAAAGAATCCTTTTTGTAACATAGAAAAGAGAACAACCAATAATGATTTTGAGCGGCTCAAGCAAGGTCGGATTCAGGGAGGGTTGTCAATTTTCAATTGCCGATACCCCCCCCCCCCCTATCCGGAGACAAACATGTTTGGGAACATGAATCCTATGACCACCACTGCCCCTCCTCTAGAGAGCCGCCTAAATATACTACTGAATCCTAAAATAAGCCCGTGTGTACAGGGATGACAATAACAACATCGAAGTTACCGGTTGCGTTTGCACTGCTGTAGAGGGATACAAAGCTAACACTTTTGGTCTGCGCCTTTCTCAGAAAGTCAACCAATAGTCACAAATCCTTCAAGGTGTCATTTGGAGATAATTAAATTTGAGAAGCTTATCAACCCGATTAAAGTACAATTTTCGACAAAAAGACGTTACTATCCAATCTGTTCGACGAGGGTCGGATTTTTTTGTCGTAATTGTTTCGTTTGTCCAAATAACGATTTTCTAATCACAAGAAGTTGCAATTTTCCGACTTATCTGAACCCGTTATCTGGAATAGTACAGCAAGTAGAGGTTTCAGAAAGCATTAGTATTACCATACGTCGACTGAACTCGTATATAGTATGTGCCTTTTGAACGCGTAAAATTGTTGAAGTCACGTTTATATAATAATTATGTTTGTAGGGAGTGCTCCATACACGTTTCAGAACAGCGCAATGGCGACGGTGCATAAAGACCTGAAATGCCACTAAAAATTCAGACGTTATAGTTCGCAAATAGTCCAGGACCACTATTTACCAAGAGTGTGACTTTTTTGCCGAATATTCCACCGCTAATGGTGTTAGTAGTAGTGAAGAGATTAAATCTGGTATTTGATCGTTTTCACCGACCCCGGAAACCAGTACAAAAAATAACACTACACCTTCCAGTGGTGGTCACAATGCCTGGCCAAACTGTTCAAAAGTCCGCTTCACTATCAAACTCATATAATCTCAATATATAGACAGAGAAACTTTACAAATAATCACCTTTATAGTCGGATACCAAAACTGAAGAGCACATCGTACCCTACTGCTAGCGCGGCATGCTTTTGCATTGGCAAAGCTGGTGCGCGTAAATCCGCAATATTTAAAGACACATCATACGCGTTCTCCCACTCTCTTCCTTTTCGGTGTCAGACTATAACAAGAGTTTTTTATATTAACCATGACTAACTTGTATAGGGTGAATATGGGTCTGCGCATACCGGGTAAATGGCATGGGAACGCATCAAAAAGAATTTTCCTTCCGGTAGCTCATACTAGTAAATAAAACCCTCGGCGAGCATCCTTCGACGCCCTATGGCCCAATAACTCATGACGACCTAGCAGTTGGCATACCGTGGGTTCCTACATATTGTCTTAATGCCTTAGGAGGGAATTTTCATGCTGAAGGTATGCTGCACCATAGCAATGCCTCCCTCTCCGATGCGGGAACTGAAAGATCTATCCTGGGGTATCCAAGAGCTTGCTGTGAAATTCCGCAGCTAAAGGCGTCCGTATGCCTTGGCATTCTCCCTTTGCTAGGCTATAGGCAATGCCGTAAGCTGGCAGGGTAATTATGCGTATCTGCATCATCAGTGACGGTTGACGAGACCACTCTTTTTCGATGCTGTCCTCTGCCGTCACCCGGTGTGCGCTGTTCCTTGGTCCTCAATCTAAAAAAAGGATTCGACCATCCTATATTTGTCTCCATGATACCTCAACAGGTAAAGTCAAGTATTTTTTACATTACAATTTTTTTGGTGGATTGTATTACTATTTGTTGCTCTCTGTCAAAGCGATGTGCTTTTGTCAGATCTGGTTACCCAAATTCAAAGAGTAACAAGAAAATGGCATCAAGTAGGTTGACCTTGCACATTCCACGCAATGCTCTTATCAGTACATAGAAAAACATATACAGCACAGACTAGACCATCTAAGAAAAGTCAGTCAAACAGGTCCATACAATTAGTAAATGTGGTCCATGGCTGAACACTCATCATGATCGGCACACGACGCCAGCAGCATCTGAGGCCAATAGGTTCCCGATCCATCTACCGAGAATATTTTTCTAGGTTTAAACGTACCAGCTTAGAAAATTGCGATAAACCCTCCCCACTGCCTTACAACCCCCACTTCCAAGTGTTTTGACTTTTCATAAATGATCAGGATAGTCTGAAACGCCAAAAAACGGAGCTCGATAATGTTTACTTTGCGTCCTTGGGACAGTATAACATTTTGTGAAAATTTCATCAAAATCAGAGCGGTACTTCTCCAGTTATAGGTAGTTATAAGATAAGCGGACAGACTGACAGACAGACCGACGGAAATGAGTGAGATACTAATATTAGTTGGTCAGAAACTCACGATCCGATGTTGATCACAACCTGAAGTGTTTACGGACTTGCTCGAGTCAGGCAACAGAGAGCTGCCGCGTGATTTCGCTTGACAATGAGACATATGAGCGTCTTTATCTAAAATGTCTGGACTAAAATTATCAATTTCCAATGGAGCGCGAAAGTGAGAGGGCAACGGCAATATGCAGCTCAACCGCCGCAGCTCTCGCAACTGAAAAGGGTGCAGTCGCAGCCGTCTTAGATTCTTGTTGTGTCAATGCCAACTTGATGTTTACAGTGTACTATTCATACATAACGGAACTACATCGACATTTACCTAACACTCCGACGATCTGATAAAGTTCTACGCTCCCAGTGAACTAAATATGTCCGAAGGCTGTTTTGAAATCCATTGGTACCACGAAACAATAGATGATAAGCAATACATTGATGAAAAATAAGGAGCGAGCAAATGATCTCAATAGAATCAGTAAAAATAGTAATTATATCTCGAAGATGTTAAAGATGCTTAGAACATACAAAAATCGTCTCGCAATTGTTTGTAAATTACCGATTGCGAGTTTCTATTACTAAGAGCTCGTGACACAAAACGATTCTCCATCGAGGGGGGGGGTCTGAAACGCGTTGTGAGCAACGCGAAAAAGGCGGTAAGTCAACCAACCTTTTGAGAGGTCCACATTGACCCACCAGTCGACTACTAGGTCCTGCCAGTCACTTCATTTCATTGACATCCATGAACCCACTATACCTTGGAGTGGGAAATATTTCTTCAACAGATCCTCTAGGAGTTTGTGTTTTGGAATCTTGGACCATTACAAACTTTTCGTGGTTGAAAAAAATATAGGAGTTAGTTTGGAGCATATCAAGTTGTAATGAATATGTCCATCTCTCTGTGGGGAGATCTAAGGTTCAGGTTCAAGGGAGATTCGAGGAGATCTATAGATTTGTGTGTTCCAATAATGTCAACGGTTAACCCTTTGTATCCAAGATAAGGACCCTATGCATGAGGATCTCAATACCTGTGAGAGATACATCTTAGATTAAATTAAAGCTGCGTCTTTTAGGGCAGAATTCGGTAAATCGTTTTCATTTTTTGACTGTATTTTGAGGAATATAAAAAAAACTAATCTAACTTTTTCATTTGCACTTTATAGGAACTAACTACATGCTGTTTTTTTTTAAATGTTATTGAGAGTTTATTTTTTATATGGTCCAAAAAAGTACATCCTGTATTGGATAGCATCTTCCTATATGAATTCAACGATGTATCACATATTACATTATTATCTTTCTTAGTTACAAGGAAAAATGTGTTTTTATACTTTTTTATTTAATTTAAGTACTCGTTATTACATAATAATGTGATGGAGTAAAATTTTATAAAATTATGCTTAATCTAGTGATATTCAGAATAACGAATACATTTTTAACATTATTTCTCTTTTATTCACAGTAGGTGTTCAAATAGGTTGCCATTATTTTGTAACATACACTTAAATATGATCTTCTAACAGTAGAATTCAAAATATCACGTAACGTTTCTGGTGTAATCATACCAAATGATTCTATTACACATTCAGGTAACTGCTGCTCAGTTTCAAAAGTATGCTGATAAACATGGCTGTCAATAAAACCCCAAACAAAAAAGTCCAGAGGAGTGAAATCCGGGGAATGCGCTGGCCAGGACGCTTCACTGGGGTTCCAATTTACCTTCCGCCGATAAAGATACGATCGAACTTGCCCAGAGTTATGTACAGGAGACACTTCTTGTTGAAACCAACACCAGTTAACTTGTGCCAAAGGAAAATTTTACAGGAAGTCTTCTAGATCGTATTGCAACAACTGAAGGTACCGTTCTGCAGTTGTGGTAAATGAATGGAGCTAACATTTTGGTTCCTAGAAACCCAAAACGTTCTTGATGTCTGCAAACTTTTTGAGCCCACAGATTTCCTTGGGCCCAGTAATGAGAGTTGCGGCGATTACCATTATTAGTGACCATATTCTCGTCGGATCATAGTATTTTTGAAATGAATTAAAAATCTTCGCACACGCTGGTGTGTACCACTCACTAAAATGCTGGCTATGTTCGCTATCCTCTGATCTACGAGAAATCCTTGGAAAATCCTGAATCTATAGGGGTGATATCTATTTTTACGCATTTTTCTCAATTTGCCAAGTTGATACGTCAGAGTTCTCAGCAACTGCTTTTGATACAGGATGTACTTTTTTTCTGACTATATAAAAAAATGAAGTTGAGGATGGTTTCTCAAAACGAATTGTCGGGCACAAAATTTAAAAACACCATCATGTAGATATGATTTGGCCACATTTTAGTTTTTCTCAAATATCTCGGTAAGCCATGAGATGTTTTCAATTTTCTCGACGACGTGTAAATATACCCCAAAGGACGCAACTTTTCCTAATTTAACCTAAGTCGTATCTCTCACATTAATATTTCCATGCATCTTTGTCACGCTGTATACTGTAAGAGCTATACGCTGTCTTTTTTTTCCATACACAAGGTAATCGTGAGAATTGAAGCTCTTTGCTATTAGCTATTGCTTTAACTATAATGCTTGGGCTATCAAGTGTTTGATCAATTCTATCCTAAGCTACCTTACCAGTTGACTAAAACCTCCCTTTGTCATTATTTAACCCCCTTGCGTCAATTTCAATCTGAATTCTGATAAGTGGTATAAAGAGCTTTATTGAATTTAAAATGTCGCACCTACTAAAAAATTTAGGGTCAGAGACAAAAAATGCAAGAAGGAGAAAAAAGAAGAAGCGTCCACGGTACCGTGACATAATGAGCGTGGAGGGGGTGAGGAAAATCATTTTGAGCGAATTAGCACAAAAAATTATAGGGTAAGCACATTTGATATAAAGTTTCTTGTCATATTGCATTCTCAGTAAAAGATAGTTCAAACTCTCACGAGCCTTCTAGTAGATCGTATTTTTTCATAAACTGAACCACGGACTATAGAAATGAACAGGAGCTCGTGGACTGTGGGACATCGAATACCTCGGATGGCTCATAGAGCTAGCTACCCATGAAAGAGGAAAAGAACAGGCTACCGCCATGGATGAAAGCACCGGCAAGCCTATGCAAGCCTATCCACACGTTTGAAGTTGTGATGACTTGTCGAGGCTTACTAAACGAGTAAATGTGTTCAGCTATATTTGAAACTAGTTTCTTTGGAATCTATAACAACTTTACTACTACACAATTATACCACTCACCAAACCACCAAGTGCGTATCTCGCTAGCATTTTGAATGGAGGTTTGAAGTCTTATAACATTCCTTAATACAGTTCGTTTTATGATTCAGTTGTGTTGCTGGTGAGAACGTTACTTCTGAGAATCCTTGGATGATGGTGAGAAAAGAACTTATTCAGGATAATATTGAATTGCATGAGGAGAGTTCTGAATTCTTATCTATCAGGAAAGAAATACTGGAGTATCCTAAACCTGAGCTGTTGATAGGTAATTTGTTTCATCCTATTAATTGCCTACTCAACTATACGATAAGAAACTTGCTAATGTGATAAGTGGAAACAGACGTAAATGAACATTAAAAAAGATGAAAACGAATATAAAGAACAAAGGAATGCAGATCAAATCGACCGCAATGAATCATTCGCCGTTCTCAGTCTCAGATTTATTTCAGGCTACATCCCTGATGATAGTGTTGACTATGAAGAATTTTACATATGTGTAACAGAAGACGCATTAGCAACTGTGAACGATATAATTAGTAAGATAAAGGCAGAACAAGAAGCACGATTATACAATACTATCAATAAAAAAATTAAAAGATGGTACGTCTCAAATTAGGGTTATTATGTAACTTACAATTAGTTGGACAACAGTGGCCAGTGGCTATCACATGCTTTAAAATGCGTACTATCCAGCACCTTTTCGATGCTTTCTCATCCCACGGTATATGCTAGCCTTTAACTAAACTCCTACTTTAAATGGCTTTTTACGCCCGCCAAAGTTATGATCAGCATATAACGGTAATATCAATGTGTGCTATGCATAGGGAGACCCAAGGCAGCGAACTAGAGGTTGATGAAGAAATAGTGAAAAACTCCAGACCTCTAATTGAGGTCGAAGTGGAAAGTGAGTACCCAATTTTCTCATCTACAACACCCCAATTCCAAATCGTTAACGCTGAACAAATGAGGGATGGTTACATGGAACTAAGGTGTTATGACACCGCCATGAACAATGTAAGTAATTATAAAAGTGAGTGAGGTATGATGGTTGTTCAAAAAGCATCAGCCGGCATATCGTAGTACCCCCCATATTGTGACAGCATACAAATTTCGTAATTTGGCGAGATACCGACTGATGCTAACGGAATCAAGAGCGATCCCTCTCACCATTGTGTGCTATTTTCTTTTCTGCATTTTCCGATGTGAGCTAACCCTTTATAAGAGGCTACAAACCACAGAGATACAGTAATATTCATTTATTTATGTTATTCCAGGTTTTCAAAAAAAGAATAAATGCGGAAGTTCAAGTTGCACCACAATCTATTACTGCTGAAGTTCAAACTACTTGCACGTATCCATCTAACAGCACAACACAGTACCAATATGAAATTAAAGATGCCGAAGAAACTTACAAGCAATGTCAAAAGAAAATACTGTCAGATATACTGACGGTAATATTTCTTTGATGAGCAATCTACTCAAGGCTAGCGTCCGTTATCCGTATCGGACTGACGACACGCTGCGGATAGACTGGGCGCACTACCGAACATTAATAAGTTTGGTGCGGGAAATCCAGTGCGTGCGGTATACGATCTGTAGACTTGTTTTTCTTGCAGGTAAATGGTACTATCAATCTCTATTCGGACGACTTCGCGAACCTAGTAAACAATACCAAGTTCACCAAACCAATAGCTAAGGAGGAAGTGAAAGAGTACATGTCATTTATGGATGTGAATATGTGCAAAGGCAAGATGATTGCAGATGCGGTTTGGCATCCTATGTGGACAGGAACAGTAGCTGTGGCTTATGCTGACGCAGCACCCAGTATATACTATACTGGACATAATCAAGATGATGTAGTGAGTACTCCACGGTTCGGTCCTGGGCTAACCCGTTATTCTATTTATTCACGATAACTCTAGAGATAATAACGTCACCGTGCACATGGTACAACGGTTTAAATTCTAACCATGAGATGTGTGACATAACAGTGGTGATATCTCTTTGCCGCGGAAAAATTTATGATGGCACAGGTCAAACGTGACAAGTCGTTCCTTTCCACTTCGTATCGCTCAGCTCATTTCTTTATGTGTTAAATAACCCAAAGACAGACCTTCAATTTCTATTATTTCTGCTTTCCTTTCCCTCAATGCACGTGCACTTTAGAAGAACTTCTCCAGATTCTGGATACTTTCATTCACCTACATCTTCTGCTACCAGAGTCATTGGTAAATACTTCTTCAAAAGGTGACCAGGGTAAATAAAGTTACAAAGCTGAACCAAACCAAAACATTCATGTAGCCACTAATTATCAGAAATGTCAGCTTTTTAGTTAAAATGCGTTTTACCATAGGTAATGAAAGCAGTTCATGGCATAAATCCTGTGCTAATATGGAGTTGTCTCGATCCCCTTAAACCCAGGCTGATTTTGGAAACACCAAGAGAGGTCCATAAACTTTCTTTTTGTAAATTTGATCCAAATGTATTGGTTGGAGGCTGTTGCAACGGTCAAGTAGTAAGTATTTTCATCGTCATGATCAAACATGTGGTTATACTGTCTAAACTGGAGAGTTCAAACGGTGCTCGCGAGGACACCATTTTGATAACATGTATGCGTAAGAAATCACTGATTTCTCAAGTAAATTGTAATAAGCGTGGAAAATACACAAATCTTGATCATTGTAGATTCTGTGGGATATACGAAATAAACTAGAAAAAGTTGAGGCATTAGAAGTATTGACTAACGCACAACAAAGATACAGAGCTACAATGCATTCGCTCATGGGATGGATGAAGAACATTCATAATATATCGATTGTTAGACCTACTGTCGTATCTGATTTGAGAAACTCTCATAAAGGACCTGTAACTGGTAACTATATATTTACAATATTTCTGCCACCCATTCTACTCAATAAGGTCCCGACAAGGACCATGTATCCGAATTATCCAATTCAAAGTAAGGAAAAACTCTCCGTGCCCAGGCCGTACGATAGATTTTAACCAACTGAAGATATAATTGTGATTTGGTTTGTTTCTTTTTAATACCTTCATATTGCTCGATTTTAGTTCATCCGTCTGTACCGTTTATCTATTGACTTTCAGGTATCACTTGGCTAAGCCCTCATCACGAATTTTCAAAACTCGGCAATTTGACACAGCTCGATTCTGATGAGACATCAATGCAATTTTTAACATGCAGTGAAGATGGCACTGTTTGTATATGGGATTTATTGAAGAAACCTACTATTCAACCAGGAGGCTTCAAACCGAGGAAGCTGAAGAGACTGAAGAGGAAACCTAGCGCTTTAATAGTCAGTAATCACTAGACCAGTCAAGTAGTTTGATAAATGAAAGGTTGAATGGAGTTTTTTAATCATTGTGAAAGCCTTAATTTTGGAGCTACGATTTTTCTTTGAGTTGCGGATACGAGTAACAACAGACCTCCTAAATCTTAAAATGGATTTCCATGATCTTTCCGTAGGTCTTTTACCGCCCCATAAAGGAACGGCCCTATAGTAAATACGCCCCAGGCCGTGGCTAGGATCATTCATTGGATCGTGTAAAGGAGTTATAATACCGTTGTTTGGGTTCTAGAAAAACTATCCCAGTCCCGTTATAACCTCAAATGAAGCAATTTCATTGAGTTGTCGTGCTTTTCCAAAGATTCACAGGGATCTTACTTACACCAACAAAAACCTCCTCAATCCTCATATTTTTCACTTTCTAGGCTGAAGTTTCACCATATTCTCCTCTTCACTTAAACTTGAAGCCAATTTACAGAGTAAATTTGACAAAAGGTGACAAACAGAACAGAAATGTGGGAATTTCCAATTGCTCAGCGAAATTAAACATTGTCAAATATGTTGAAGTGCGCCCAGAAAAAAATAAAAAACGTCCATTACATGAGAGAGTTATCTATAAGCCTGTACTGGAACCCAGACGTGATGTGGAGTGGAAACCAGATACTAAAATTCATTGTGGCACCATGGAAGGTTTGTATACTATATTAAATATAACGGTTTTCTTTATTTGGTGATGTTGTAATGAAGGATGGTAATAAACTATGATAACAGCACTTACAATCAGACCCCAGGTGTTTTTCACGGCTGAATCATCAGCCGCTCCAAAATATTGGAGAATCTGTTGAAACTGGTCCCTCGTATTAGCTTTATTTCTTATAGGTGACTACATTTATATGAAATGGGAAGGAAAAGAGTACGAGTCAGGAGAGGTGGTGAATTCCGAATTAAGTAAAATCGAGAGCTACTCCAAATGTCATGATGGTCCTGTCAACTCATGCAGTATTTGTGAAAACTCCCATGTAACATTAACTGTAGGCGGTAAAGTGATAGCTCTTTGGAAGGACGACTTCCCCAACAGGCCTATCCTTTGGAGAAGGTACAGACATAACATGTTCACCACAGGAGAATGGGATGTTTTCCAGGTAACAACAAAGGAAACGTAAAAATAAAATACGATATTTAGACTATGTTCATTTCTAAGTCCAACAGTATCAGAAATGCTCTAAAATTCTTGTGCATCGAACATTCAGTGCAGAAAGCTCTTCAAGCTATCCACATGGAGGTTATGGAGCTGACCCTACAGGTCATTAAGTTTTAGTTTTTTCGCTGCTCAAATCTATCACGAACGATCTTAGAATTATCAATGTAGCCCAACTCCTCGTAAAGTTAGGTAACCTCTTTCGAGAATTCACTATATCCTGATCTATGTATTTTAGCCTTTCAGATTCATGATAGAAATCATCAACGGAAACGTAGAAAGTTGGGCGTTGCACTACAACAGCAAACAACCCACTTTTCACTTGATATTTTCCAGTGGTTATTTGACGACTGCAGCGATACATCCTAGACCATTGAAAAAACTCATATGTGGAGCCGGAGACAAGCAAGGTTTGTGATAACATAAAAAAAATCCCTAACCAGTATCTACAGGTGGTTCATAAGGGCGCAGACAATGTGGAGCAGATCAGCTCGTCATACCAGTGCATCAACATGCCCCCATCCATATTATTAATAAAACAGACAGGTCTCAGTTGAGTCGGGTGGCGATTCTTAGTAACGACGGTGATAAGTTGCGTGGGCCACGATTACCCCCCCCCCCCCTGGGCAAGTCATGATTGAAAGATGCACCAGACATCGGCGCCTCCGCCACTCCCAGCCCTTCAATGTTCAATCGTCGATGCGCCTCCACTCTTCAATTATAATAAAGGCATTCTCGGAAGGGCTGATGTAGCCGAGCCACTGCCAATCCCCTCGTTCTTCAAAATTTTCCATCGGAGCAATCCGAGATGAATATTTGCCAGTAACCTCCCTCTGACACAAAGGGCTTGGTGCTTTTAAACAGATAGTCCTTGATAGAAATTTTCTTTTAATGTTGCTCATGCCAACAGGCATTTTTCGTCTATTCTTCATCCCTGAAGACACCCATGAGTCAGAAGGTGACAAATTGAAGGAGTTTGAAAATTTTATCGACAGAGAGGTAAACAGAAAAAAGAAATTTCTGGCTTGGCAAGAAGAATGGAACAGGAAGAATGAGTCTTTTCTAAAAATAAGGCAGGAACAGCAAAGAGAACTAATGGAGCAAGAAGAACAAGCGAAGAAAGCTAAAGAAGCGGAACTAATGGAAGCAAAAGCAGTTGAAGTAGTTGTTAGAAAAGGACCAGCACCAGGTAAAGATAACGATTTTAAAACTTTCAGGTCCTTTAATGATTTTTTGTTGTTTGAATATAGGTAAATACATAGAATGGGTGATAGAACAACGCCAATTAGAGGAAGAAGCAAGAATTAAAGCTACGATCATCAGTAAAAAGCAGTTGAATACAAAAGAGTTGGAGAAACGAAGGAAGCCCTTGCAAAAGCTAGATGAGGAGAATGAAAGAAAGAAAAGGAAACAAAGGATGAGGTGAACTTAGATATATTGAATTATTATATAGGGTGATTTTTTTGCTAGTATCTTTTTGGTAACACTGTTTTTGACAGATGACGCGTGAATCGTGTCTTGTGTCATTGTCAAACTTGTTCAGTTTGGTCTATAATTTAACCATGAATCGACTTACGAACGAACAACGCTTGCAAATTATTGAATTTTACTATCAAAATTCATGCTCGGTTAAGAGAGTGCATCGAGCACTGCTTCCAATTTATGGGCAATTTGGTCGGCCTACTGAGGGAGCTATTCGGAAGCTTGTGACTAAATTTCGAACCCAGTTTACATTATTGGACATTAAACCACCAACACGCAAACGTAGAGTGAGGACTGAAGAAAATATTGCGGCTGTATCCGCCAGTGTTAGTGATGACCGTGAAATGTCGATTCGCCGCCGTTCGCAGCAATTGGGCCTCTGTTACTCCACTACGTGGAAAATTTTGCGACAGGATTTGGGTGTAAAACCTTATAAGATACAGCTGGTGCAACAATTGGAGCCACACGACGTCCCACAACGTTTCCAAGTTGGTGAATGGTCGCTGGCAAAGTTGGAGGAAGATCCACATTTTTATCGAAAAATTGTGTTCAGCGACGAAGTTCAGTTCTGGTTGAATGGGTACGTTAACAAGCAAAATTGCCGCATCTGGAGTGAAGACCAGCCAGAAGCATTGCAAGAGCTACCAATGCATCCCGAAAAAATCACTGTTTGGTGTGGATTATGGGCCGGTGGCATCATCGAGCCGCACTTCTTCAAAGACGACAATGGCCGGAACGTAACTGTGAATGGTGAGCGCTACCGTGCGATGATAACAAACTTTTTTTTGTCCAAAATGGAACAGCTGGACTTGGCTGACATGTGGTTTCAACAAGACGGTGCCACATGCCACACCGCACACGAAACAATGGCCCTATTGAGAGGCGAGTTCGGTGAACAGTTTATCTCACGTTTGGGACCACGTCAATTGGCCGCCTAGATCGTGTGATTTAACGCCGTTGGACTATTTCTTGTGGGGCCATGTTAAGGCTAATGTCTACAGGGATAAACCAGCAACGATTGACGCACTGGAAGCCAATATTGAAGCATTTATTCGTGAGATATCGGCCCATATGTTGGAGAGAGTGTGCCAAAATTGGACCTTGCGCATGGGCCATCTAAAGCGGAGCGGCGGCCAACATTTACAGGAAATAATCTTTAAACATTAAATTATATCGACCGTTCTATCGACTCAAATAAAGATTTAATCGTTTTTTCAAATTTTTTGTGTTTTTTTTAAATCAAATCCTATGCCTCTTAAAAATCACCCGTTATTAGATTGTACAAGAGGAACAAGCATTGGAAATTCATCAATTTTTGTCATTTTTATGCCGTTTGAATGAATGCAAGAGGAAGTGAACATCCCAATCCATTGGTTATCGGTGCATAAGATCATATGATGGAGCCGACTTTACCTCCCACATAACTGTCGAGGAAGTATTGTAATTGCAAAAAATTCTGAAAGTGGCATATTATGTTTTTGAGATGTTATATGAGATGTACAACATGCCAGCCTTTCTATCGGTCTGTCTGCCAGCTAATCGTTGGCCTGTTTCTAACTTGGAAAGTACCGCTCGGATTTTGATGAAATTTTCACACAAGGGTATTAACAATCCGGGACTGAGAAAGGTTTTTTGAAAATCGATCCAATGGCAGGGGAGCTATAGTAAAAAAAAATTAAATTGTGCAAATCATTTTCAAAAAAAGATTTGAAGGATTAAAAAAATTGGGATTGACGTCAACATATTTATACGATTTCACCCCCGATACCACCTTAGACATATTTGATATATCATGCAACATTGTCAGATTCCTTTGGATTAATTGTATGGGCCTGTTTGTCTAGTTTGATACATTCAATTCCTTTGTGATACTGGTATGTAACTAACATTTTTCATAGAGGGTCTATCTCTAATCCTTTACGAAAGCATCGCGTGGCTAGTGCAGAGTCAACCAACTTGACGTCATTATTTTCCGCCATCTGAGTCAACTTATTTTTATCACAGTGAATTCTCAAGGGATACTGATGTGCCCCAAAATAAAAGTTAGACCTGGGAATATTTGAAAAGTCGTAAATGTATTTTTTATCGAAATAGGTTGAGGGAAGGTGAACATATATTTAAGGAGACAGTCGCGGCACTGTTTCCTGATGCGGTAAAAGAAAAACCAGTCCCTCCTCCAGATCCATACGTCATTGAAGATGAACACAAATCACAAGCGAAGTACCACTTCAACAAGTACTTGGAAGTGGATAAAGGTGCTAAAATTTTTGTAGCTACAAACCCTTACAAGTACGAATTTCATTGGAGATCTGTATTGGATGGTAAGATTATTAGTAATAGTAGTAGTAGTATTAAGCTTTTGGTGGAATCTATTGAAAAAATTTCCCATTAATTTTGTGCACTCATTGATTTTCAATTGTTTTTTTTATTTCTTAAATGCAATTTCTTATGTCCACGATTATTTAGGTTCATATCAGCTAAAACTTCAGATAAACTTTTGTACTTCACGGTGTAGTTACTGAGATACAGCGTTGAGTTCATTTCTCTTAAAACATATATTTTTAATTTTGCTTAAATAAGTTGAATGATTTAGATGAACCCAAGTGGTTATATCCAACTGGATTATCCCAGGAGCGGCACTATCAAACTTTATCCGAGCTCTCAAAATTTTAGCTGAGCTTGTTCACTGATATGTTTGTGATCAAGGAACTCCAAGACAAAAAATCCACTTAAAATGATCCCGGGTCACTCTAGTTTTATCCATCGGGAGTCGCAGATTTAGATCCGTAAGAAGTCAAATATATTTTAGTGTCTATATAGTTAATGTGATTCTACCAAATACGACGGTTTTTGTTGTTTTTCTCGCCTCCTGATTAATAAATCTGGAGCGATCCAGGGGTATTTCGACATTTCTGTTTAATTTTGGGAGTTCTATTATTATTTGGCTAATTTCTAGTTGCTGTGAGCACTGCAGTAGTGCAGAATTGCATCCTATGTTATGAGAATGTTCTAGTATATACAGAGTGATTCACAAGTCCTGACAAAAAATGAAACATCATACACAGGACGACATTTCAAGTGGGTCTTCTATGTAAAATTTTTTTCTCGAGGGCTTCATTAAAAAGATACCTACGGGGTGTTGAAGCTTAAAAATAAAAAAAAAATTGTAATATCTTCAAAACCGTCAATTGGAATGAACTAACATTGGATATGTGGATTTACCTAAGTATTGTTCACATTCAGTAGTCTTTACTTAAAATTGAAGTGCACCAGTGGCGGAGATACAGGGGATTAGTGGCATTATTTTTCCAAATAAAAATAGTTTGTTTAAGATTTATTTAGCATGATTGCAATAACACTCTTCTAAAAAACTAAACAACTACATAGCATACAGATATTTAGAAAAAAAACCAAAATTTTCATTTCTATGAATTTTCACTGTCCATGAAATATTCCTTTAGTTTTCTTTTAAACATCTTTAAATTGCAAGTGGACTTTATATCATTATTTAATTTATTAAATTCAAGTAATCCTTTCTGAAATATAGATTTACTAGTTATATAACTATTGCAATTTTATAAATGAAAATCTATATTCCCTTCTGTATAATAATTGTGGTAATGATTATTCAATTCTATGTAGTCGCAAAATGTTGTAGCAAAAGATGATTTTTTATTTTAAATATAAAAATGAGAGCCAAATATGATACGAAACGAACGATTTTATTTTGGTGGACTAATTTTTATTCAATATTATTCTCCTAGCTTTTGGACTTGTAATTTTGAGAATACAGCCAGTGTTTTTTTTTTTCGAAACGCTCAATTTTTCTAATTTTACCTTCAATTTGCTCCAAATAATTACTCTTGTGTTTCTACCTAAAGTGCACTGTGTTCGTAAAAATAAAAAACAAAAAAAAAAATAATCAAAGCTTTATTTCAATAAATGTTCAAAAAGACCACCATTCTGACGGATACAAGTGCGGTATCTTTCTGATGAAGAAAAACGTACTTCCGCAAAATTTGTTGTGGCTTGAATTTGATGAAACGCATTATCTATTATTTCTTGTAACTGATCAACAGTATTAATTTGTTCAGCTTACAATAGTTGTTTAAAAGCACCCCACAAAAAATCGAGGGGGTTCAAATCAGGAGTCATCGTAGGCTAATGTACGGATCCGTTTCTGACAATCCATCGTGGTTTAAAATGATTATTTAACCATGCGGTTATGTCACGACGAACATGCGTCATGCTGATACCACATTTGTACTCTCGTTGCTAAAGGAACATCATCTAACACATTTTCAATGTAATTCTCTAGAAAAGCTAAGTATGAGTTTGCATTTAAACGTTGTGGCAATTCGCGCACATACCAAATTTTAGTTCATTCCATTTGACGGTTTTGAAGATATTATAATTTTTTTTTCATTTTCAAACTTCTATATAAAAAATGTTACATAGGAGACCTCCCTCCACCCTTAAAATGTGGTCCTGTTTGTGATGTTTCATTTTTGGTCACGACTTGTGAATCACCCTGTATGTTATAAATACTTGTTAGACACTTAAGCTTATAGTAGTTGACGTATATAAAAAACATTACATAAACATCGAATGAATGTTTCAGGAGGTCGGCTAAGGAGAAAACAGTTGTTTTTAGAGGCGATGGGTCTTGGTGAAAGAAGAAGGACGAAAAAGTCGTGGGAAAGCCAGGGTACTGCTCCTTTTATGGGAGCCGCATCGGTATCAGCAGTTGAAGAGCAAACTTACGGAACAGAATCTAAGCAGCCTGAAACAAGCGAAGCAACTAAATAACCTCAAGAAGCTTAAGACAATAAATATGTGTTAACATTATTCTTTGAGATTTAAAGATATGAATGGTATACTGATATGGAGAAGATATTTTATCGTTTGTCCAGAATAGTCTCGGATTGGAACTATTATATTTGTGACATCATCGGTTATAGTTTCCGGTGCATCGGGCTGTTTGTTAATAAAAGAGTTCTATATATATATTAAAATGTTTTATTAAAAAATCGTACTACTGGATCACAATACATAAATAAAAAAAAATTTATAAATAAATAAAATTTACAAACACAATGGAAATGAATTGCAAAATGCTAAAATACATTACACACAAGTTAAAGCTTTTCAAAGTTTACACATCATTACTGTTTTTCATCTAAATAACATTAAGCTTAAAATGCTTTCTAAAAATCTACATAATAATGGAATATTATATTTAGGAGTGCAATAAATTAATCGTGTCAAGCAATTTGAGCACTTCTTATGGAAAAATCGTTTTTGATAAAATTTTCCGGTCATCGCGTTCTTCTGTTACTGCTGCTCAAAAGTCTCCATGAGGTCAAAGCTCAAAACTTAGGGCTTTAGGAACACGCAGACTTTAATCCACATTAACAGTTGTACACGATGGCAAAATTTCAGGTAAAAAATGCTCTTTCGACAACGACAAGTGATGAAGAAGCCTGTGAGCTTTCAAAATAAGCATTTACTCGAAAATGGATCATTTTGAGAATGTTAACATGATATGCATAATATTCCTCAATATAATGTGATTTTTGAAATCCGTAATCGAAATCACATTTAGGATTGCAAGTTCTTCCTGTGCGGGATGGTCCTGATCTTCGAAATAAGTTTACTAGCTTTATTCTTATCTGCTGTAGGATGATATGTGAGAAATTGGTTCTTGTAACTGGAGTAGTTTGAATCAGCTATACTCCGTCCATCCCCCTCGTCTCTTCTTGACATTTCGGAGAAAGGAGAAGATCCTTTTGTCTCAGAGTCCTCCCTTTGTCTTTGATCTGTCCTAAAAGTGAAAAAGGCATGGTGCAGTACAATGAAGTGAAATAAGATGCTTATGAGAAAATTTTATAGTGGTATCCAACAGTGTTTGTAAAATAATGACCATTGTCCTGTCCAGGGGCGCCCGCAGGAATTTTTCTCAGGCGGGAGGGGGCGGCTCATCGACAAGAGACAAATTTTTATGGAAATGTACCTGCCCTAAACCTTTGAAGAGGGCGGGGTAGCAAATTTTCAAGGGGCAAATCATAAAAATCACCAAATTTGTACGCTGGACCATGCTAAACATACAAGTCTTAAGGTCTAACGAAATTCTCAGGGGTCTTCCATAAGGGCGCCTATGTTTTTAACATATGACGCAAAGTTGACATTTTTGAGCATATGGAACTCACCTTAATACTTTCTTATTCTTCACCTCCCTCTCAAGAATATCGGCAGTGGTCAACTCTGAGCTATGAATTTGCTGAAGGGCACTTGCATTCTCCGACAACCATGGCTTACTTGACTTATTCTTACAGCTACATGTTTCAGACTTACATCTCTGGCACTGCATAGGCTTTATTTCGTTGCTTATGTCTTCATCACTCAGGATCCCTAGAAGCATTTTGTTGAAATACAAAATCATCATGAGGTTTTCTAGAATAATATCAGGCAAGGCCTAAGAATCATAAAAAGGGTGGAAACGACTATCTGTTAAAAACAAATATCAAGTTGGCAGCCTTGTTTGCTTTTCTAGTGCTTGATCGTGATTTGGCAACTTTGGGTAAAGCTTTTCCGTTTTTCAAAAAATAAGTTAGACGTAAAATATATATTTTTTTGTTTGCACTCTTAGATCCTCAAATGACAACGTTTCTTCAAAGCCACAATAGAGACCTTGTATCTGGAGAATGTTAAACAATGTTCCAGCGATTTTTATTTTTTTGTCCGTAGTTCCGCCGTCACTGAATCAATTTTAAAAATCTACGACGGTCTAATCCCAAAAAATATAATTATTGAACTCGCGATAATATTCGAACTTCAGTTCACAAGTCTTCTGTTGCTTAAAGATATCTGCATCACCAAGTTCGTGTTTCTCATTAATGTTGGTTTGTAATTCCGTATCTGTTGTATAGTATATAAATGCGTAATAACTACCGAGTCAATCTACTTGACGAAACATCCAGCGAACTATCATATACTGAGCGAAATGGGCGTACATTCAAGGATCATAAAATTCAGAAAAATATAGGGTGTTTCAGTTTATTGTTGTATAACTTTAAGATTCGATATAACTTTTAAAATTAATGCATAAAGTCTCTATAAACATGGGTCGAAAAATGCGTGGCTTCCGAAATACAGGGTATTTAAATTTACTTTCTAAAATAGTTTTTTTTTAAATATTTATTTATTATTTAGTTTTACTGTAGCCGCTAGAGGGCGCTCTCTACTGTACCTGTAGTGTATTAAAATGATCGAAAATTTGTTCTCAGTGCAATTTTTTGCATTTTGAATAAAAAAACTGACTTTTCGCACTTTTCAACATAAAAAAGCTCTCTTGTGAATTTTCGTTATAGTTAGCCGTTTTTGAGATATTTCGATTTTTAAGGTTCGATGCATTTTTAATTATTTATGATAAAATAACGTTAAAAAGTCAGTATCTCGATAATTTTTAGAAGTAGGCTGTGCCTGCAAATATTTTTGAAATTGAAAGCAGAATAAGGTTAAACGTCAATTAGTTGACAGTTAGTTTTGTTGTCTGTTGAAACCTGAAACGTTTTTTTGCAATTGTGATTGCACGAAATTTAGTTTATTTTACCTGTTTTTTTTTGTAAGTTTTATAAAAATGCCATTTTTATTCTCCAATCAAGAGTTAGCGGATATTCATTTTGTGTATGGCTTTGTAAATGGAAAATTTTTTCTTAGTGCAATTTTTTGCTTTTTGAATAAAAAAACTGATTCTTCGCACTTTTCAACATAAAAAAGCTCTCCTGTGAGTTTTCGTTATAGTTAGCCGTTTTTGAGATATTTCGATTTTTAAGGTTCGATGCATTTTTAATTATATATGGGCAAATAATATTTTTTTTACTTTTTCGATTTGGGCATTACAAGTAATTAAGATGATCGTTTAGATTGTGTTTTTGAACACAGCAATAATTCCTAACTCCAAATAAACACAAAAAACAATATTAATTTGTTTAATTTTCCAATATTATTTTTAACAAATTAAATTAATTATTTACAACTAAAATGCTATTGGATAGTTAGGACAAACATACAAAATCTAAAGTAGTTGCTCGAAATGTAAACCCAATTGTTCAATACACAATTCACATATACGAATGATAGAACGTGGTATAGCATTATTCAAATAAGGCCTTATTTCATCACACGCATTCCTGATTCTGTCTATTAGCATATCTCTTGTGGTTACGAGAGTCTGGTACACTGTTTTTTTAGAAATCCCCACACAAAGAAATCTAATCGATTTAGGTCAGGGGATCGTGGAGGCCAGGCGACTGGTCCTCCACGGCCGATCCATCTTTCTGGATAATTTTCGTCCAGCCAGTTTCTAACTATTCTCGAATAATGAGCTGGACAACCATCAAGCTGGAACCAGGCCAATCTTCTTAAATCTAACATAACATCAACCCGCATATTTGCATGTTCAGCCTTTAAAAATTCCAAGAAGGTCGCAGCATTTAACCTTGCAGGCAAAAGGTAGGGTCCAAATAGTCGATTACGGTAGATACCAATCCACACGTTCACACTAAATTCATACTGAAAATTTCTTTCCCGAACTGCATGCGGATTTTCATGCGACCAAATATGTTGCTTATGAAAATTTCCCACTCCACGTCTAGTGAATCATGACTCATCGGTCCATAAAACGTTACTTAAAAACTCCCGATTATTATCAGTATCAGTATCAAGAATCCACTGACAAAATGTGATTCTTCGTTCTCCGTCCCCTGGCTGTAGTCCTTGCACAGGTTGCAAATGGTAAGGACGTCTATGGTCATTTCTAAGAATACGGTAAACATGGCTTGCTGAAATTCCCAAGGCACCAGAAACTCTCCTAACACTTGTGGTCGGATCTCTATCAAACTCACGCAGAATCATACGGGTAAATCTGCGCTGACGAACATTTATGTTTTGATCCCTTTGGAGATTTCCAAAACCATTTTCAATTATTTGGCGATGCACTCTTACAAATACTGAGCGAGTTGGATGTCGTCTGTTTGGAAATCTTCGTGCGTATTCTCTGGCTGCTTCTGCTGCATTTCCATTTACAAAGCCATACAAAAAATGCATATCCGCTAACTCTTGATTGGAGAATAAAAATGGCATTTTTATAAAACTGACAAAAAAAACAGGTAAAAGAAACTAAATTTCGTGCATTCACAATTGCAAAAAAACGTTTCAGGTTCCAACAGACAACAAAACTAACTGTCAACTAATTGACGTTTAACCTTATTCTGCTTTCAATTTCAAAAATATTTGCAGACACAGCCTACTTCTAAAAATTATCGAGATACTGGCTTTTTAACGTTATTTTATCATAAATAATTAAAAATGCATCGAACCTTAAAAATCGAAATATCTCAAAAACGGCTAACTATAACGAAAATTCACAAGAGAGCTTTTTCATGTTGAAAAGTGCGAAGAATCAGTTTTTTTATTCAAAAAGCAAAAAATTGGACTAAGAAAATTTTTTTCTCATTTTAATACACTACAGGTACAGTAGAGAGCGCCCTCTAGCGGCTACAGTAAAACTATGCCCATGGTTCGTTTTGTCGTACCAAAAAACCCTTGTATACCAATTTTCACTGTTATACATCAAATATTGTTCGAAATATTTAAAAAAAACTATTTTAGAAAGTAAATTTAAACGCCCTGTACTTCGGAAGCCACGCATTTTTCGACCCATGTTTATATAGACTTTATGCATTAATTTTAAAAGTTCTATGGAATCTTTAAGTTATGCAACAATAAACTGAAAGACCCTATATGTAGATATAAAAACAAATACTTCATCATTTACAAAAGGATGGCAGAACGCGAAATCCCTACATATTCGTAATACCCAAATATTTCTAAAATATGTAAAGACCCCTTAGCGGTGTGTCCCTGTCGACATCGAGCGATACTTCAAAGTCTGATTTTGAGGAGATCGGACATTTGTCATTTGATTTTCCCATTGTTACCGGGATCAGCAGCTTCTTAATGATAGAACGTCTTTGATTGATACTAAAGATGTGACATTTACAACCTCCAATCCCCAATTTTCAACCCTTACAAATATTTGTTCGAAAATTATCATGAGCCTCTGAAACGTCAAAAAACGAAGACATTTATTTTTTCGTTTTTGACGCTTTTCGCCGTCGCCTCTGAACCGATTTTCAAAAATCACAAATCCTTTCCATCCTTGGCATGTTAGTAACATTGTGTAAAATTTCATCAAAATCAAATCAAGGTTATGGGCGGTTACAAGATTAGCGGATAAACCGAAAGATAGACGCACGGACGGAAATAAGTCTGTACATGTCTTACATTCTTATAACATCCAAAAAACATAAAATCTCATTTCCGATATTTTTCGCTATTACAATACCTCCCCGCCCTGTGGCGTAGAAAATAAAATGGCGACTTCAAGTGTCCAGCATGTGTCCAAGGACGTCTCCATCCTGCTAAACTGCATTGTGGGCACATTTTCTGCTACTTGCATGCATCAAAGACTTTGCAAACCTTATAATTTCACCATCAAAGGTCCAACATTTCAGAATGACATTCGACCATCGAATAAAAAATAATGCATATATTGTTTCCTCACCAAGTGTTATTTTGTCCAGCACCGAGTTGTCAGTCTTTGGCACTGATTGAACAGACTGATTGAGCAGAAGCTTCGACAACGGTGGTGCAAGACCAAGCCCGATGTTTCTTTCGTGGTATACCTCAGAAATCGTTGGGGTCAGTTCTCTGTTGATGTGTCTTAGCTGAGTTGCCAATATCGTGTCGTGTAGTGCTAGAAAGATAAGACAAACAAAAGTTATATTACTATTATATAACTTTCTTAAAAAGCCACTGGTTTAGTCAAACAGGCTGATAAATTATAAGACAGGTGACCAAGACGTCGCTACGCGATTAATTTTAGAGATTCTCAAAATTTAAGTGTTGCAAGCATATTCTGATCGTTGTCCTGGATATTTCCATCCCGAACTGTGTAGATTTGTTTGTATCGTGCAAAGGTTACAAATTTATAGAAACGTTAACAAATTTGTTGTTTTGAATCGAACGGCTACAACATTAAGCAGTATTTACGAGCAAATCATATGACTTTCCATTTTACGTTTTCTCCACTAAAACACCGCACATTAGCCTTGTTATTTCAAATCTAGGTGTTTCTGCTAGGTAAAGTTTCAACTTACAGGACACCCTGTATATTTCAGTATTGGTGAATATGATGTATACATGCAAGGCAACACATTCACTATTAATTAAAATTGCGTTAGCGTGATATACTGCAATAATGAAAATCAAATTAAATTATGTTGTTTTTATTTGAGAAACAGACTGTGGAATTACGCAATATGAAATCTTACTGACGCTGAAAAAGTCCCGCTTGTAGCGTCGCGTAACTTCGTTCTACACGGTAAATAGTGTAACATGGAGACACATCTATGCATTTTATTAGAAAATGATTGGTTTTTTTTATACTCCAACTACCACGAAGGCCTAAGGCCTAAACACACATTGGGTACCGTGGGGCTATAGGGGAATACAGGGGAAAGAGGGTAGTTTACATAATGAAAAAGATGTCAAAACATCTGGAAGCGGACCGAACCATCGCAACCCATAAGGTTTACAACCTTCCAACAAAAACTTTAGCTTGAGAAACAGGGGTAATGATGTATGAATATAGTATTGGTGACAGGAAACTTGACAGACCTAATACAATTAATGACTTGGGAGTCACATTTGACAGAAAACTTTCCTTCTCCTATCACATCGAATATGCTGTTGTGGCTGCATCAAAGGCGTATGGTTTTATTGTAAGAAATACTGGTAACTTCCACAACTCCTTTACGCTGAAAATACTGTACTATGCTTATGTAAGATCTCAGCTTGAGTATGCGTCCCTGGTATGGTATCCTCATCATCAAATATATATTGACCGTTCAAAGAAAGTTTTTAAAATATCTCTCATACAAAGCTGACGGGATATATCTTGCTATTTCCTCATAGTGAGTTGGTGGTGGGACACAAAATCTATAATTTAGAGATCAGACGCAAAAAGAATTCACTTAAGTTCATTCACAAGCTCATCCATGGCATTATTGACTCCAGTGTCATCTAAGAACAACTTAACTTCTTAATTCCTAGATTAGCGTCACGAACTAGTTTAACTTTTTACTTAGCCAGGCCTAGGACTGACATACTTAAGTTTTCCCCTATCTATATAATTGCGTTTTAGATATATTTTCGTTTTGCGCGACTTTGGGAGACATTAATGCATATTTTCGTTAATGCTTGCCGGTGTGTGCTGGGTAGGTAAAGCTACAACGCTTTTTTCCTCGCAGTACTGTTTTGAGGTTTTTGTGCAGCGTTTTAGCTTTCTCTACATGCATTTGTTTATTTTTTCATGTTTATCCATCCTGTAATTGGCTATGACTGTTGGATGTTGCTAAATAAATAAATAAGGGAAGCGCCGCTAAGGGGCACATAGACATACAAAAATGGTGCTCGTAGAAGTTAAACATAATTATGTTCGATGAGAGCTGTAATAAAATGAAATATTTAACTGTAATATATATTCTAAACAACAAGTAAATTACAGCCGAAATAGGTTTTTTGGTAGAGTTTTCCTCTGATATCGACTGTTCAACTCTCCCACCTGTCGAATTGGCAGGTGTTTGACAGAATAGCTCACAAAATAATATGGAGAAAATCATTTGTTGATCTGATATTCTAAAATTATCCCTTTTATATACCTCACCACTGAATGAATGACCATCTGTCAGACCTCTCGGTCCAAGAGGATCATTTTGGAACAGTAGGTACTCATTTCTGTGCTTGGGTTTCTAGGCCACGTAAGTTTTCTTTTCTCTATCGCTAAAATTCTCAATTTCCTTCTGGTCATGATTCCACTAAGTATTCATACAGGGTCTATTCAGATTCCTGGTATCATAATTATGACTTCATTATAGATCAACTTAGCATCTTTCAACATCTCGTTAATACTTCCATAATGAAACTACCTCAATCTTTTGATCCTATACTACTTATCTAATTTATATCTCTAGTTTTTCTTCTATATTCGATGAGCTAATTCTTTGAATTGAAGTTTGTATTTTTAATTATTCGTAATGCAATCAGTTTAATTTCATCCTTCCTAGTTACTCATTTGTCTGACAGAGTAACTCAACTGATACAACCCAGTCTTTTCTAGTCTAGAATAATGCTAAAGTGATAAGGTCATAGCTTTTGAAGATTCTTTTGATCAGTTTTTCAAATATGAAATATATAACAAGATGTAAATTCAACTAAGTAAGTGAATGAACTTAGTGTGTAACGATCTTAAGAACTCTTCTCAGCGTAAGATAGTAAATAGGTAAGTTATCTTACATATCTTTTTCTCAAATCACCTGTTAAATTGATATTCATCTTATTAACGGTTTAAGTTACTCAGCTCCAACCCCACCAAACTATCAATCTATTCTGGTGATAACACTATTAACTAACTAAATTTCATCGTGACCGACGTAGCTAATTAATTAACGTATTTAATTAGTTACCTAATTACTAATATAAATAACGGAAAACCTGTTACAATAGCGTTCCAAATTATACTAACGATAATGGCATCAACACGTCCCAATGGTAGTAGCATGCCCATTTTTTAAGTAATCGAATATTCAGTTGGACACTCTACATTCCTCGGAACGATTAAAGTCTCTATATCTAGCACGATGGAACAATTCTAAAAGGGAATCTTAACGCGGCGGCCATGATACATCATGTTACATTGACATTAAATTACATATGCTACTTACCTCCTGCTTTACCATTGGGTTTGGCCTCAGATTTGGCAGAGTCCTGTTTCGGATCATCCTTGTTAGATGTAGACGCAATGGAGGCTAAGTTCGACGCATTTTCCATATCGTTCGGAGAAAAGTACAGCAATCTTTCATTGGCAGGCAGTGTCTCTTCGCTAGGCAACGTAACTGGTTTTTTGTTTTGATTTGGCATGGAAATCAAGTTTTGTGAAGGAGGAGTTATCTATAAATACGAGAAGAGGTCTTACCATAATGTTTGCTTGAATAAAATATGAACACGGATCTACACGTTCGTAGTGTACCGTAAACTGCTAGGTTCCATAAACGCAATTCTAGGTTCATACAGGGATTAATTAATAAATTAATTAAATGAAAATTTAGAAACACTCAAGCAGTTACGAGGAGCAACATGCCAAGACTTTTTGCACCCCCAGCTTCTCTATGTCTCAAGCCCGGACCTCCTGGTGACGTTGAGTGAGCTTTGTGCTCCAGTTCCTTGAAATTCTGGGAATCCAAAATATTGGAACTAAGAGCCTCACAGTCACACAGAGCATGCACTGGAGGCTCAGTCACCCCCATCACATGGAAGTTGCGCCTCAAACCGTTATGTCTAGACAACAGTTCCACTAGCAACCTCTGTCCAGAGATAAGCAAAAATGTCTAACCTCAGGACTAGGCTCTAAAATGAACTCCAGTGCCTGATGGACATGTCTAAAGATACCACTCTATTCCAGAGATGGTTGTCTCCACTCCTCCGTTATTCTCCTAGCATCTTAGCGTATCCGGTACCTATACAAACGATACCAGATGCCTCGCTGCTAAGATATCCCTCCCTAAATTGTTACACAAAGTTCTAAGTAACCCACTCCAGAATAAGAGATACAGAAGACAGAATCACATACATTTTCGCTTTGAATATTATAGTGTGCCAGGAGGCAGTGTGATCCTAATTCTAGAGCCAAAGTCCGAGCCGTCCATGAACCAGATAGATACACTTCCCTCAAAGACCTTCCGACTGCGATCCCTGGAATCACACTCCACTTTCGTGGGGTACTCGACATTGAGTTAAAGTGGAAAGAAGTAATGATCAGGTCCTCCCTGCTGAGGACAGAATTATCCCATTGGAATCCAACATCAAGATGGTTAGGATTTATGATGGCCCAGGTTTATACAACTATTTACAGATTTGGCGACGTCAGCCATATGCTTTGTTTTGACCTATTTTAGGATAAAAATGATATGCATATGATAGAAGAATCTAGAGTATAAATGGAATATCATAATAGAATCAGATGTTCGTTTCTCTCGTGCATCCAGCACTTCTATTGAATCAAAGAGCAAGCGCCTGTCTGCTAACAGTACACATGTCAGCACAAACATATGGACGCTTCGCAAACGCTTGCGGCAAGCCCCTTTTTGTGCTGAAAAACCAAGCTCGGGCGGGATCGGTTGCACGTGCCGGCGATTCCACGCAAGCCAAGCCAAGTGGCTTTATCCACACGTTTGAATAACTGGTGGTTGGACAAGAGTTTCATAAAATCCGTTTATCAGAAATCCACATTGAATCCTTCTCATATTTCATAGCACCGGAGTACATAATAGTCAAAATTTCTTACGAATTATGTTTTTATATGACGAGTCATATAATCAAAATATCATAACTTACATCGGATCTCAAGGTCAACCTCTCCAAAGTACTGATAGGATTCCTTGGTTTCTTGTAAGATACTTTGCTCCTAACTGTTGAGTTGAACAATTTCGCTTCCATCTTTTCGAGTTCGCTGTCCGAACTATTCTCGAACATTCCTGCGGGTAGATTGTTGTAGAGTGGCAGGTCTACCAAGGGCTTCGTTCTTGGTGGAGGTAGAGGCGGCAACTGTAGAGAAATTGAAACATTCTTGAGACTATGTAAAATAGGTTTTCATATGGAACATTAGTCGATTTTTTACGTTCTTCAACAAAAATCATTAGGCCTGTTCAGAAAATTAAAAACAGAGTTTAGGCAATGTGGAGGATTGGGGGTCGATTCACACGTCGGCTTTCGCCTCTAGGTCAGCAGTACCTAGGCTGTGTTGTTATCGATAGTCGCTATGAAGGTTGAGTTGTAAATAGTCATGCCATAAGTTCTGTCCCTCGTTTTCAAACAAGTGTAGACCTGTTAATACTTGTCCGATTGTTTACATTGTGGTGTCAGTTGATTAAGCGCTTTTCGGGTAATTACATATACCTCAGTTTGTATTGATCTCTCGAAGCATAACGATGGAGTGGGGCAAGGCAGAGAACCGTATTGCAGTGATAGCTTTACATAAGTGTAATCACAGTGCTAGTCAGATTTTTGAACTCTTACGCGGCCTTCAAATATCGCGTAAATTTGTGTCTAGGACCATTCAGCGGTACAATGAGACGTCCTCTGTTGATGACAGGCCAAGAAGCGGAAGACCTCGTCAAGTAAGGACTCCAGCAGCCATCAAAGCCGTAAAAGCCAGGATTCAAAGGAATCCACTCCGGAAGCAGAAGATCCTATCCAGGGAAATGAAGATTCCTGTCCGGACGATGTTGCGCATCATTGCACATCATTAAACAAGACCTAGACCGGAGACGTACGGGCTAGCGACTTACGGCCACCTTGCGACACATCAGGGCGACAAGATCCAAGAAGCTCTTGGAGAGGTACGCAGCTGGGGGATTCCGAAAGATTTTGTTCACGGATGAGAAAATCTTCACCATAGAAGAAAAATTCAACCGACAAAATGACAAAGTGTATGCAAGGAGTTCACAGGAAGCTTCGGAGATCATTCCGAGAGTTGAGAGAGGCCACCACCCTGCGTCAGTCATGGTTTGGTGGGGGGTGTCCTACGAAGGGGTCACTCAGCTCCATTTCTGTAAACAGGGCGTGAAAACAAAAGCGGCAAACTATCAGAGCGACATACTGGATCCTATCGTCAAGCCTTTAAGTGGTACATTGTTTGCCAACCAACACTGGGTCTAACAGCAGGATTCCGCCCCCGCTCACAAGGCTAAGAGTACGCAGCGCTGGCTGGAAAGCAATGTGCCAGAGTTCATTGCTGCGGAAGATTGGCCCTCAGGGAGTCCGGACCTCAATCCTTTAGACTACAAGTTGTGGGACCTGCTAGAGCAGTTGGCCTGCTCCAAAGCCCACCGTAATATCGAGTCCCTGAAAGCGGATTTGATCCGATCAGCGGCAGCTATTCCTTTGGAAGCTGTGCGTGCAGTGATAGATGAGTGGCCCGCGAGATTGAAGCAGTGTGTGAAGGCCAAGGGGGGACATTTTGAATAAAACAGTTTGATTATGAATTCTAAAAATGTTGTCGAATAAATAATATCTTTCATATAAATATATCTTATCTTGTTTCATTTTTATCATGAGATTATCATGGGACAGAACTTATGGCACGACTACGTATAATATTAGTGGTAACATAATGCATTATCGCATACAATCTAGTTACCTGATTTTGTGTTTGTCTTCTTAGCACGGTAGCATGCCCGTTATCCCAATCTGTGGCAGAGCTAGCTGAGCTGGAGCTATCTGGCCTCATGTTGTCGCCTACTTTACCATCGTTTTGTGAATACAAATTCCTTATTCTTGTTTGATGGGCCAGGGATAATGTTATCGCTTGATTTTCAGGCTAAAAGGTTAAATTATAAATGTTAACAGCGTTTTTAAGACTTTTTTAGCTTCATTTTACATAGTTTCAGCCTCAGAGTCAAAAACACACTTCAAACATTCATATAATATAGGTTATAATAATGATAATAAACGTCTTCATTCGCCAAACATCAACAAATTTATATAAAAAAAGAGAGTTTGGCGAAGGACGAAGTTCAGCTGTGCGCCACTGACATGACACACATCTGTTCTTCCACTTAATCCTGTTAAATAAATACATTCAACCCATCGCATAATGCAAATATAACCGCCTTAACAATAACATACCATACACTAGACAAAAATAATAATAAATGTGGAATTTGCATTGTTCATAGAATAACCAGCTCTGTTTGCTAAATAATGTCCGTTTGACTTGGCTCTTGAATTTTACAATATTAAATTATTTGATTTCTTGCGTACACACTATAAATTTGGTAGGTGAAACTTCGTTTAAAAAATTCATGGTGAAACTTAGGAGGAGACAGTAGTCCCTCAAATCTTACATTTGAAGTGTGTACATCTGTACGAAATTTTATTTTATTGTAAAGATGTATTGGCTGTTTAGCAATTATTATTCTATGATATAAACAAGCCGCGTGCAATACCCGTCTGTTATACATGTTTAGCCACCCTACATCTTATAACTTGTGAAAGACTCTGCTTGGTCTGCGTATACCACAGATTACGCAAGAATTTTGCAGTTTTAGAATTTTTTGTTTATACACAGATGATAAATGATAAATCATATACAACATCAGCATAATTTAAAATTGATTGAACCGGAATATCAAATAGAATGATTTTAGTTTTTTTGGAAATATAATGTCTGTTAACATAAATCAACTTCTAGGCAGCATACGTTTGTTGCAACACTTCATTTATATGAGGCTTAAGCATGAGTTAACAATCAAGTACAATTCCAAGACTTTTAGCTTTTAGAGTTCACTGTTCGGTAAGTCTGTATGACGCTACCAGCACGCACCGGAACAAGTCCCTCTTCGAGAAGTTATTCCGAATGATCCGGTGCATGTTTAATAACTTGTAAAAAAAATCCATTAAGCGTGAGCAGCTCGATGCACGTGATGCTACACACCAATCGATAATCAAACACATTTAAGCTTTGTTCATCCGCTGTGAGAGGAAAAAACTGAAATGCCAAAACTTTGGCTAGTATTGCAAATTATTTTCATCAAAACATTGGTATTAATTAAATTAATAAGTTTTATTAATGATTATTTATTAGTTAAATTTATAAATCAGTTACGCTTTTAGCTGTTGAATCAATCTATGACCAATCAACGTTGAACATGTCTATTACTAGCATGAAGTAATGCGAGGCGCCATCTATCGCACCAGAATCGAACCATTGTAGATCGCGCACCGCTGCTATTAGTCGGAACTGTCATGGATCTCAGTTCCCGTTTAACAGCCGTGGCGTTAGATGGCTGATGATTCTGGCTTAATGCAGAAGTGGTCTACTAGCCATTGAACAGGTTAAAACAAATTGTGATGCTCCGTCCGACCAAGGATGGCTGTCTTCTTTTCTTGGTCGTACGGACGAAAGCATCTCATTTTGTTTTAACATTTCTGTTATTTTTGATCCGCGGTTGAAAATCTCAATTCAAAGGCTTTATCTAGTTGTGTGTGGTTGGTGAGATTCAGCTTGCAATTGTCGTATCGATAAACATTTTTTGCTACTATTGTGGTACTACGATATTTAGCCATTGCCTTCTTACAACCAAGGTGTAAGAAAATCCTCTTACTTGTAGCACTACCGGCGGACTAGGTGTGAAAGCAGCATCAGACTCCCCTCCTCCAGGTCTGGCTAGCGTAGCATTCTTCCTTGGTTTGCTATCCAATGTGGCAGGGGGTGGCTTAGCATCAGAGGGGTTGGCAGTGCGACCATCAGGTTCGCCCCTACGTCGCACGTACGATGTAAAAGCGCCCCCAAGGCGTTTGCCGGGTAAGCTGGCTCTAGAAAATGGCGGGGGAGGTGCTGAAGCTGGTAGCGACAACTGGAAAGCAAAAATATACAGTTCAATAAATAATTGGATATTGAATAATAAACGTAATTTGATTATTTCTAACTTGTCACAATCTCTTTGTGTAAAAGAAGTTCTTAACCCTTCATTTTTACTTACAGGTATCCTGTATGGATAGTGACGAAAAATATATAGTAAACAGGGGAGCACAGGATATCTACAGGGTGTAAACGTTATGGTAGTCATTATTGAAATGGGTAATAGGAGGGGTCAAAACAAGTCAAAAAGTTCATATGACCCATGGTCCAAAAGTCAATAGATTTTTGTCTAAATGGCTTTATAGTTTACAACTTAAAGTGCTTTATATCGACCACAATCGCCACAATCTTACTAATTTTTATAATCTAATCTAAAACGTTTTTAAATTGGATAATTAACAAATAAATAGCATTAAGTTTTTTAAGTTAAGTCAAAATTTGTAGTCAGTAAGCAAGTTTCATTAAATTGAATATTTAAAACACACATGACAACAGCGCGTCGGTCATCATCACTCTTATCGAACCGGCAATCGATCGCAAACGGTAACAGTGATTAGTTATCGGACATCGGGCGTGTTGTTCACAATGTTCTCGAATCAAGAGTTCGCCGACATGTTGTTAGTTTACGGTGAAGCTTGTCAGAATTTAAATCTTGCAGCTCAAATTTATGGCGACAGATTTCGCCAACGGGTACACCCAGACAGAGGGACATTTGTGCAAGTGTACCAAAGACTTCGAGATTCGAGATTCAGCCCACTAATATTCGCACTCGTGAAAGACAGGTTACTGTAGAGCAGGAGGAACAAATTTTAAATATCGTGGAAATCAATGCAGATATCAGCACTCGGGAATTAGGCCGCCGCGTAGGACTATCGCGTACCATAGTCCATAGAATCCTACGAGAAAATTTGCTTTATCCCTACCATGTACAACGAGTACAGGCCTTGTTACCAGAAGACTATCCTCGCAGACCAGTATTCAGTCAGTGGTTTTTACAAAAAAATTGAAAATCCGGATTTTCATAAAAACATTCTAGCGACGGACGAATGTACTTTTACGCGAGACGGGATATTAAATTTCCATAATACCCACACGTGGGCCCAAGCAAATCCTCATACCATTCGTGAAGGTCATTTCCAACAACGTTTTAAAATAAATATTTGGCCGGGTATTCTTGACGATCAGGTAATTGGCCCTTTCGTGTTACCCTCAAAGTTGTCAGGAGAAGGATACCTTAGCTTTCTAGCCAATAACCTACCAGAAGTTTTGGAACAGACCTTAGACAACATGCCATTACAGCGAAGACAGAATCTGTGGTTTCTTCATGACGGGGCACCACAACACATTTTTAGAGGCGTCATTCAGTATTTGAATGATCATTATCCAAATCGCTGGATTGGTCGAAATGCTTCTGATCCTCGAAAATGGCCAGCAAGATCTCTTGACCTCAATCCGATGGATATCTGGTATTGGGGAGAACTTAAAGGTATGGTTTATGGGGCTGGTTCAATAACAACACTAAACCACAACATCGCGAAAAAAATTTAAATGCGACTGAAATAATAAATGGACAACTTCGAGGACCTAGAGTAAGAAGAAACTGGGTTCGTCGTAATGAAGCTTGTGTGGAAAGTGGAGAACGACATTTAGAGCACCTATTTATAAGTGGATTTTTTTAATGCGTTCAATAAACTTTCACACACCAGGTGAAGCGCTGAGACAGTTAGTGGTAAGTGCATTTTTTTAATTGTTTGCATTTCACGAGTACATTATCAAATAATGAAATAATACCTAAGAGCCAAAAATAACAAACTCCATCTTTATTGGCATTGCGGCGTTGTCAGATTTTATTTTACTTTAAAGTCGCTTTTCTCTAAAAAAATGCCGTTTTGACCCCCATGTTATATGAAACTTTTTGCTTCTTTTAACCCCTTCTATCACCCATTTAAATGATGACTATCATAACGTTTTCACCCTGTATATAGTATTACGAGTTGTTGATCGCACCCGCACTACAGAATAGGTACGACTTGTCAACTTTGAAGCCGCTACATCCCAAAATACCTTCCTTGAAATCGTCAAAAGCAATAAAAATTGTCAATCTAGCAAACAAAAAAGTCATATTGAAGTTCTAGCAAAATTATCTTGTAGATCAATGCATAAATTCAATCTTACAAACCTTTGGTGTAGACTTGGAAGCAGAACAAACACTCAGTTCGTTATCCGAGTGGGAGTAATCGTTATCAATGGATGCCAGTGACTCTAAACTGCTGGAGGAATCGATGGTGAGGCTTTTTGGAGCCTCTTGGGTATCTGAAATAAAAGAGAACATAAACAATAATTTAGCAATGTTCAACAACATAACTATAGTCTACAGTTTTTGTAAAACTGTAGAGTTTCAAGAACACCAAAAATGACGGCAACAGGATGACTCTGCAGTTCTCACGCATCAATTCATAAAAGATCATGTTTAGCCACCGTTTATCACCCATCAATCAGATCGCGACTCGTATAGCTAGAGCCGTGAAAGTTGAAAATATTTTTATATCATTCAAAATAAGGGAAAATCTATGGTCTGTGAAGTAGGTATCGCTAATAGGCGCGTAAAATTACCGGAGCTGAAAGCGTACGAATTAAGACATACTCTCCTCTTAACAAACAACCTCCAATTCCCAACATTTAACAATTGTAGGAATTTTTCCAGAGATTTTTCCAAAAATGATCAGAAACCTCCGAAGGGACAAAAAACAAAGTTTAAGCGATTTGTATTTATTTTATTTTCAAAATCTACAAAGGTTTTTCGTTCTTGGCATAGTAGTAACCTTGTGAAAAACTTTCATCAAAATCCAACAGGTACTTCCCAAGTTATAGATGGGCAAAGCTGGGTGACAGAAAGAAAAACAGACAGACAAACGGACCGACAGACAAACCGGTAGACAGACAGACTGGCAGAAATGACTGGCATGGCTTTTCATGATATACGTCAAATAGCATCCAAAAAACATAATATCCAATTTTTGAAATGTTTCGCTGTTACAATACTTCCTCGGCAGTTGTCTGGAAAATATATAAAAACCTCTGTAACTTACCAAATAGCGCCAGTAATGCTTGTAAAGTAAACTGGATATTTCTTCTGTTTGCTTGTTTCCCTGTGCGCAACGTCACTTTATCTTGTCCAACGTCTATTAGATCGAATCCCAGTGACGCTAGTAATTCGTGACAGCCTGGTACTCGCCACAATCTGAGCAACATTTTTTAAATTAGTAAACGCTCTATGTTGAAATTGAAATGTAAAAGCAATTCTACAAATAGGCAAAAATTGCTTACCTAACATTCAAAGCTACATCAACGCTGTCACTATCCAGGTTCTTAGAAGAAAATTGTGACAACGCAGATTGTATCACAGCAATTATGTCATCAGCTACTTCAGAGTTGGAAGTCAGTTTTGAAAGGGCATGTATTGAAGTACTTGTCAATCCTGAAAAGATAATGAAGGATGTGAGTAATATATTTTCTCCAAATTTAACAAAACCACAATAGAGTTTTATAAACATCGATAATTAAAATAATGCCTCACCTAATAAAGCTTGTAGACTAGCAGAACATTGAGTAAGTCTCTCATCTGGATCAGATTGGGGGAAGAATACACTACTTGGTATACCATTAGATGCAGGCTCGAATCTGAACCCTACAGACATCAGCAGCTCTTTCCAACCAGTTACCGTACCCACCTATAAAAAAGATATATTCTCCCTATTCACACGAATATCAACAATCTATATTTACTATCTCAAAATAACTTTCACTAGCATTTTACTTATAAATGCATAAGCCATAGGTGAATGAGGTTCAAACGTACAGTATGTTTGGTTCATTCACAGAAGTCAGATAGTGATAGAAATCCAATGTACTTCAATAGCATAGCAAATATAGAGCAGAGTGATTATCTCAATTCAAGAAGGTAAATTCCATAGATATGTCACCCGTCGCGAGATCGCACAAGCGTTTCGATACCGCAAGGAAGATTTTTCTCTGAGCATTGGAGAGCATGTTGTGGGTTACTGCATTCCTCTGCTATCCCTTGATGTGTGATATTTGATCATGCAAAATTAGAGAAAGCGAAAATACAGAGAGTCAGAACCCAACGACAACTTACCTTATTCTCAATGGATTTCTGCGTGGTATACATAGCATTCTTCTGCCCGCGATGTATTCTTTGCAAGCTTTTCTCAACAAGATGCAACGTGACCCTCAGAGCATCTCTGCACTTATCTGGAGCATGGAGGAGCTCGCACAATGCTTGTCCCATCAGAGCAACTTTATTGGAAAGCCGAACGTTTGCCCCAATCAATACGAATCCTGCCCAGTTTGCTGGATGAGCAAAATGTTTGGTATGTTGAACTGTTTGCATTGCTTCAGCCAGGGCTCTAGAAATGTAAAACATGCAACTTTTTACTCTTATCTACAACCGGGAGGTGTACATTATGGCTTTCAAGGTGTTGAGTCCCACTTTTTACTTTATCTACGAGCCCCTTCCCACTTCAGTTGGCCCACTTCAAGATTTGTACCAAAATATGCCTTTATAAACTAAACATTACGAAACTATTTACTTCTAAAACAATTTATTTTCTCAAAAACATTTTAGATACACTCTAGTCGTAAAAAATACATATTTCACTTAGACCTATAACTAATAGAACATCTGAACAAATAAACAATGTGCGAATAAATGCGCGAAGTTAACAAAGCAACAATTGAAAGATTACCATTGGTAACATCACCTTTATTTTTTATGACGGCTGAAATTCTTTGGGGCATAGTGTTAACCAAGTTTTGGCAAAAATTTGGTGTAAAACAATCCCATATTTCTTAAGGCTTTTGTCTCAGTTCGGTAATTGTACGAGCAGGATGTTGTCGTAGAACCTTTTTCATCTCGTGCCACAAAGTTTCAATAGGTGACAGATCTGGACTGCTAGAAACCCATTTCAAAAGTGGTACATTATTTTCTTCCATCCATTTTATAGCCTCTTTTGAGGTATGGCACGCTGCACCATCTTGCTGAAACACAAAATCTTGGCCGGATGTCAAACATTCTTCCATCACTGGTAAAAGCGATTCTTCTAAAATTGCCAAATATTTGTTTGTATCCACATTTCCATCAATAAAATGAAGTTTTACTACTCCTTTTGATGACATACTGCCCCAGACCATAATGGATGCTGGAAATTTCATTTTTCTCTTCAGACAGTCAACATGGAATGCTTCATTTTTTTCGCGAATAACTCTACTGCGACTGTAACCAACACAAACTTCGAATCGGGCCTCATCACTCCATTGTATTGCACACCGTTGTTGAGGTGTCCATTGTCTATGTTCTTTAGCCCATCTAAGCCGATTTTTCTTTTACAGTGCAGTTAATAGTGGCTTTTCTTTGGCCTATAAACAAGTTGTGCAACTTTAGGGTTTTTACTTCACTTTTTTTATAAGAAAAATTACCTTTCAAGTGCTAAATCCCAGTTTGTGGGCCTCTCTATGAGTTGTGCACTTCAAAATTATCCTTCCAACAGCGTCACTCCACAGAGCACTTAATTGTAAATAATTGGCACGCCTGTTTTTCATGATTATTCTTAATGCTCTTCGGTCGGCATTTATGATATTACTTTTTTTCACATATCGTGGCTTAGTATTAACTGAACCAGTTACGTTATATCTTCTAACAATATTTCTCACACTGTACCGCGATAAGTCTAACAAAGTGGCAATTTCTGAGTTTGATTTCCCAGAATTAAAAAATTGAATTAACAATAACCGAATTTTCTCACTAATAATCCTTCCTCTACAGCGTGTTTCTTTTTGGTTTTTTTAAAGTATTATTTATTGTTATTAGATAATAGCTTCACCTACCTTCAAGCGATGCTGTAATATGATCAATTTATTTATTTTATGTCTACTTGTACGCTGCTCTAAATTTCCTAACACCTTATAACCGTAGATAAAATGTATGCACTTCAAGCGTAATGAGCTTATATCACCTGGCTAATTTTACGCCGTGGGTCATAGGCACGCATGTTATGGATCAGGCGCAAAACTAACTATTTTATATCGGAGTGGCTTTTATATCAACTGTATTATAGTAGTGGCGTTGTTCTTGTACCTGGCAGCTCTGGTTCCTTGCAATAGAGCCGAATAAAAAGCTCTGAGCAGTATCTTCGTAGCAGTATCCGGAACAGGCCAAAGTGATATCAAAACTGCTTGGGCTCCAGCAGCTAGAAGGGCTCTGACCAAGCCCACTAGACCATCCGCTGTCGCCCATCCCTGCTGGTCTCGAGTGTGGGACGAGCTTATGACCACCAGCTTTGCAGACAGTCGCAAAGACAGTATATCTGCCGCGCTCAAAAGGAATTCCGACATCGGTGGTAGTTCTGCTGAGGTTGATACTTCATTACTGCTTTCGTCTTCCTCGGAGATGTCGCTTATGTAGAGTCGTTTCGATTGGGACTGGTCTAATACCTAGAAATAAGGTGGTTATACTCCAGGATTCCATTCCAAGTTCATTATATTTACCTCTGCGGGGCTCAAAACTAAGGAGGACAGCTTCCAGGAAACGTGAGTTGCAAAATGAACACATTCCGCGTCTTGAATCTGGCTCATGACTTGCTCTTTGGTTGCCATACTTCCGACCAGAACCTGAGTCTGCAACAACTCAGCGACCATGGTTGCTTCTTGTTCAGCTTGAGGTATGTCCTTCCAACCCCAATGTTCTGTTACGGCGCTTGGAAGCTTGGGATTACCAACCACGAAACTCCTTACCTAGACCATATCACCAAAGTCAAGTAAAACAATAGAAGATGCAATCCAATATAGGGAATTGTATATGTGTTAATTTTAGACACATCATGAACTTCGCTGATGTTTCAAAATTCACAAGTTTGATAATAAATGGAAAATAGTAGTGGTGCTCACAGTTTGATCATGCCCTTGTTTTCTTAGACGTCCGGATTTGAGTGTTGATAAATTTGGTATGACGTAGAGAGAAAATCTCTCACATAGATAGTCTGAGTTTTCATTTGATGATCTGAGAACTGGAAATGGTACAAGATACAGGTCTCCTTCAAGCACCAATATCAGTTCTCTTCGACCTAAGTTGTCCTTGAAGGTTGATGCTAAAATATAGTTTTGTCAAACTTTGTATTTGATTAGTTCAGAGTCCCGTCTTACTTTTTGCAGTGAGATGCTCTTCAAAGGGTTGTATGAGAAGTGTGTACAACGCATGTAAGCAGCTGGGTCCTTTCCAAGCTTGCCTTCTCCCTACTTTAGCTGAGCTTCTTGTGCTGGCACTCGATCTGGTACTTCCTAGAAGCAAATTACGAAATTGTTAATTTTTATTAGAAAAAACATTATGTCAAGTTCCTTAATTTACAATGTAAAATCGTTCAAAATCACTAGGTATCGTCATCTGCAGTGCAACACTCCAATATCCCATAATTGCAAAAATCTTTTGAATACGCCAGGAACATTTATTATTGGACTATGTTTATTCACTTCAGTATGATTGCTTGAGCGTTTTAACAGAAATCCACAAGGCACTTGGGACCAAATTGTTCTTCAGACTCAGACCCCCCAGTTTATCTACTATAAAGCCATCTACAGTTATTGTAGAAGATCTGACACTGGATAATTCCCAGATGCAATAAGACATGATGCTAGTGTGGTTAAAGAGGTAGATAGTCTATGGAGAGAAGATTAGTCTTGCCTTCTAGCTAGAGATTTTGAACAGTTTCTGCAGACCGGGTCTTTCAGATCGAATTCTTTTAGTGATAGATTTACATTCTTACCTTGTAACGAAGCAACTGATCCTCCAACGCTACCTAAAGAGAACAGCGAGCTCAGTGAGTAGTTACTTGAATTTATGAGGTTGTGTCTGTTGACCATCCTCAGAAAGCCCGGCCGATCTGCTAGACCATCTTCACCACCAGCATATTGCTGCAAAAAATAGAAAATCGTGTAACGCCTATGCCGAAGTATGCGAACCAAATCTTTTTAAGGGCATTATGCTGTAAGGGGACTTAATATCCACATCTTATAAGAATCATAAATATAGAGTCGTTCTAAGTTTGTATAAGTAGATAGATATATAGATAAATGAACATCCTTTATTGTCTGAAGAACACATCATCATTCTTAATGGCAATGTTAACTATAATATAATTACATAAGTAGATCTTAAATAGGTGAATTGGAGAACTCACACAAGGTATAATGTAGTAGTAGTAGAAAGATTTATTTAGCACATTTGGCTACATAAACAGAATAATTGTTAACAACTTAGAAATAGTAAATTCAAGCCATATAGAGTATGATGTAAATGCTGGGCAACCTATAATTGTAGATTTAACAAGTGATTTCTCAATTTTACTTTAAATTTTGTCAAAGTTTTCTGGTCTTTTATCTCCGAGTATAATTTATTATATTCAATCAACCCTTGATGGAATACAGATTTGTAGCATATGTTATACTTTTTGGTCATTAAATGGAAGTCATCTTTATTTCTGGTATTATGTAAATGATGGTCGACATTTGATGATGTTAAATTAGTTAGACTTGATGGAAATATATTATTTTTTACTTTATAAATGAATATCATTACAAGATATTTGATAAAAATGTTTACATTGAGCCATTTTAATTTGCTAAACATTTCCCTAATTGGAGTATATTTATCTTTATTTAGTATTATTCTCATGCACTTATTTTGTAAAATTTGCAGTCTTTCAAAAATGGAATTATTTGCTAAATATAGAATAGTCGAACAGTACAAGAAATTTGGAAGAATGATGGTATTATAGATAATTTTTCTGCTATACGAACTCAGACATCCAGAAACTCTCGATAAATATCCCACTTTACTACTAATCCTATTTATAACTTTTACATAATGAATATCAAAAATTAATCGAGAGTCAATAAAAACCCCCAGGTATTTAAAATTTTCTACGAATTCAATATCTTCACCATCAATATTCAGTTGAACATTTGTACATTGTTTTTTTCCGATTAACAAGGCTTTCGTTTCACTTGTATTTAATTTTAGTCTGTTAGATGCTAACCATTTTGAGACAAGTTTCAAGTCTTCATTTATATAACATGTGGTTTTTAATTCCACGGCTGAATATATTTAAATTTTTTATTCCTTAGATAGATCAGGGAGATACATGTAAATTTTCAGACCATGATAAATTACTAAGTCTTTCACAGGTGTTGTTTTTGGTACTAGTAATTTGAGATATTGTTTTTGTTTAATATCGCAACTTATATTTAATGTTTCAAATTTAGATTTATTTTTAAAAATAAGAGTCGCTGATTCTAAAATGAACAATGATACATCAGTCACTATTTTAAGATTTACAAATAAAGGCCTTCATATATCTCTAGTATTGCTTTTAACTATATATCTAATAGTTCGTTTTTGTAGAACAAAGTCCTTTTCCAACCAGTTTTGGGAACAGATAGGCCAAACGGGAATGCTATATCTCAATCTACTTTTAAATAATAACTAATTATTGTTCTTATAGTGAAGGAAACCTTCGCTTGTTGAGTAAGCAGCCTGTCTACATGATTAGTAAAATCTAATTTATGATGAATTGTCGGTCCCAAAAATTTTATGGGGTCTGTTTTGTGTATCAATTCATTATTTAAAAGAAAATCAAGGGAGCATTTGAATGTCATGAATTTTGTTTTATTAACATTGAAAGTGATGTAATTGTTGTCACACCAATTTTTAATTGATTGTATATCACTATCATCAATTTTTGTCTTAATTTCGTTTATATCTTTGTCTTGCTAAAGTATTGTGGTATCGTCAGAAAAAACTTCGAATTAACCATTTAAGCTTAAGTTTAATAAACCATTGATATAGACTAAGAATAGGATCGGACGTAATACTGATCCTTGTGGTATCCCTGCGTTTATATTTAATTAATTTAAATGTCTCGATAATTTTACAATTTGGGATCGATTGTTCAAATATGTTTTAAACCAATTAAGTGAAGTTCCATACAACCATATTTGTTTAGTTTTTGTAATAGTCAAAAGCTTTGTAGTAGTAGTATCCTTGTAAGGAGTAAAAAATTAACTTTCTGTAACTTTTCTCATGTTCCTTAATTTTTGGCATGAACTCCGTCTCAAAACAAACTGTAGTTTGTATTAATAAATATTTTGATTCTGAAAAGCGACTTACGTCTTCAGCGATTGTGGCGCAAGATGGCGTCTCGGCTCCCACATTATCTCGAACTGCAGCCACCAACTTTTCCAACAAACCAGAACCAGAAGGAAATGATTCAGCTGAATCGGGTGAACATTCCTCATTTTCTGATGGTGGATCAGTCAGTGGGACTTGATGAAACTTCACAATCCCCTTAGTTGGCATAATCAACCATGCATAAAGGTAGCCAGCTGCAATACTGTAGTACAACATCGTTGCCCTTTGTCTGTTCACAATCTCTTTCAAACTGTCTAGGGAGTTCAAACCCAAGTCTTCTAATCTGTTTTTCAGTTTTTGTTTGAATTCAGGCAGTCCTTGACGTTCAAGAAGGAGATCTATGAACGCGCGGTTTCTGCCGCGTTCTGCTACCAAGAGTGCTTCTTCTGGCCTATTCAAACCTGCAATGAAATCATCAAAACGCAAAATTAGAAAGTCCAAGATCTAAAAGTATAGGCCAACCAACAAATTGTACTTACACACAAGGACCCTTTGCAAAATTTGGTAGCTAGATGATTGTAGTTCAAACATAGATAACTTGTAATCTTGGGGATTTCTTGTTTCTCTTCTAATGCTTTCCAGGAGGTGAGTTGCAACTTCTAACTGGTTTTGAGCACCTTCCAAGTCCCCATTAGCCCACAGCGCTAAGCCCAGTCTGTTCCTAATTTTGGCCTATTCCAGAATAAAAACTGTTATTTTGAGGAGTAATCAATTAAGCAAAAAAATCGCAAATATAAGTGGAAAACATTTCAGCTAAAGGTTAACTAACACTAAGCATACCAACTTTAATAAACATAAACATTTCTACCATAGCCGGTTAAATGATCGGTTGTGATAGTATTACTCAAAATAAGCAGAATACAAATGGAATATTAACTTTATATAATTAATAGAAATAATCATAAAGTCAAATGTGCAAAAGCTATTAGACAAAATGCTCATCTTCGATGTAAAATTTCATAACCGGTGAATGGAATTTGTGTTAAAAATAATAAAACCTTTGGCTTCTACTATTTTACCGTTTCTTTATAACTATTTCATTTATATTGTTGAAGATAGTGGATGTCCTACTTAGTAGGCCGCAACATTTTTTTCAAAGAATACTAAAACTATTCAGTATATCCAGTATCGGTTACAAAAATTACAAACTTCCTAACATACCTCTTCATCTCTTCTACCTAAAGCCTCTGCAATGCATAGTCCCTGGGTTAAATAGGCTATAGCCTGGATCCTATTTCCTAAAAGCTGATGCAATCTCCCCAATGCACTGTAAGCTACTGTTTTAGCTAGCTGATCATTGGTACCTGCAGCTATTGATAAATGTTGCTCTTGGTACCGAATAGCTTGATCCAAATTACCAAGTGCTTCGTATACGGTTCCTAAAAAAAGGTTAGTAATGTCTATTAGGTTTTGGAACAAGATATACGTTCGGACAGGTATTTACTTGTATACGGGTGATTTGTATAAAGCCAGAGTATCTAATCAATTTTCTGAATCGATGAGGGTTCTGTAGAATTCAGAGGTAAGAAGAACATGTTTCCTAGCCAGTTCTGAGACAACAACAATAAACAAAACCAGAAAAAGTATACTGAGTCGTTATCAAAAATCTAAAGCAACAAAACGCATATGCGAAGTCTGCAAGTTCTGCAGAACAGAACCTTGCGTACAGTCATTAACACCCCATGGTATGTCTCCAATCAGACACTTCACAAAAACCTTGACAACATTTACCTAACAGACTGCATCTCATAACAGTCGCAGTTACGTTATAGTTGTTGCGTGAATCAGTAGATTACACAGTCGAACAAGTTGATAAGCACACAAGACCACAGCTCGCACTGTGAATAAGTTTGTACCATGGGATTTTAGATCCAACCCAAGTTGCAATTTTTCCACAACAAGCAACCTTTAAATTATTTGGACCAATTTCAATTCCCTAACACTAGTTAACAATGCTAAGGCGCCCTTCCAGCTGACGCAACTTTTTGCTCTCTACCCTCCTCGTCCTTTTCTTCTTAACTTCTATTTACCTGACTTTGTAGTCGTGGCAATCAGACCTAACAGTCCTATTGACAATATTTTTACCAAGACCAAAAGTCCTACGGGTCGCTCCGACAGACAATGACGAATAGAAAAAGCAGCAACATATTTTTTTCCGTTGGTATTGAAAGGATCATAATTTCGAATAACCCTCCACTTACCTAAGTTTCCGCAAGCTCTACTTTGCAATTGGGGCATCCCTAGTTGTTCCGCGATTTCCAAGTCATTTTGGTGATAGCGTAATGCGGTCGAAAATTCCGCCATTTGATGATACACCATACCCAAGCCGCAAACTGCATCGGACTCCATCACTCTGTCATCTAAAATAACACAAAATTGATATAATTTTCATTCATCCAAGCTTGATTTTATCATGTACTCATTTTTTTTATACTGAAGCAGCCGCGCAGGCATAAGCCTAAATGCCGGACCGCGGCTGCTAAGATGATCCCAAAGAAATTTTGTTAATCCGATTTTTGAACTGCCTAAGGTTAGTACAACTGGGAAAAGCTCTCTCTTGTAGATTGTTCCACCCTTGGTACAAAAGAGCGGTCGTATCGGCCGGTTCTGGATGTACGAAGTTCGACCCGGTTAGTATGGGAGGCCAAAGTCAGGCGGGTCTGTCTGGCTTTCACATCGCGCGGCGACATCATTGAAGAGAGTTCTGAGGAGCAAAGCCCGTTTGTGTAGCGGTAGAAAAGAGCTAGATCGCAGACGGCCCGCTGGTGCGGAAGGGTTCCGAGACTGTCTATTAGAGAAGAGTCATCGATCAGTCGGATCACACTCCTCTGGACAGCATCGAGCATAAATAATGTAGTCGGGACGGGGCAGCACCCCAAACGTGTGAGAAATACTCGAGGCTAGGCCTTATCTGGGCATTGTATAGAGTGATAAGGAGGAAGGTACTTCTTAACCCTAAACCAGGGCTGTTCAACATACGGGCCGCGGCCCGCTTCACGGGTCATGTAAACATATATGTATACCATATAGTATAGTATATACCTATTAAAACTCAGTAATAATGTTTTATAGAAAGATTTTATAATGCGCCACTCCAAACTGCATTTTTTTTTGAAGTGGCCCTTGGGCCACATTAAGTTGGACAGCCCTGCCTAAACAAATAGCCTAGCTTTTTCCCAACAGCTGCCGGGACTGATCAGATGTGTTCGTGCCAGATCAGGTCCTCGGTAATCTGGACTCCGACCAGCCGAAATGAATGGCTCTTTGGCAGAACTCGGCCATCCATCGAAACCGGAAGAGCGCTAGGACGCTTTTTGTTCGTCAATGTGCAGTACTGTTTTGAGAGAATTAAACTGTACAAAATTGTTGCCTCCCCAAGCTGTGATAACCTTCAGGTCTCTCGTTAGATAGGAAATCGTCGCTAGTCTTCTTTTTTCCAGCTTAGCGGCAGAGATCGGCTTGTCTGAATTCCTGCATGTAGAGTGCTGTTATCAGCGAAGTTGTGGATTGAGTTGATCGTACAGGAAAGAAGGTCGTTGATATGTCATTAAGTGCCATTAAAAAAGGGCGTCAAGTGGGTTGACTGTGCGCTACTACGCCACTTAGTTCATGATAGACCGGGAGCTGTGGGCAAAAATGGGGGGTCATGTGATACAGCAGGAAACCTTCTCAGAACGATAGTACTACATGAAAAAATAACTTCTAGCACTATGCCGTCACTTGAGAGTGGTACATATAAGTACAGGGGAAAATTGAATTTTCGGTTCAGAAGGGGTCGGAAAAGTCTAAATGATTTTTTACGGCTTTCTTTAGAATCACAGATGCCAACAAAATAATCACGATGCACTTAGTGCCGTACGGAAATAATGGTGCCGGAAGCAATAAAAAAAAATTAATTTTCAGTAATTTTTTATATTTAAAATTTACCAACGCCGTACATATCTGCTGGTACAGGGGTGAGAAAACTCGGGTCGCAACCCCTGCTTTAGACCTCTATGGTGGAAAGTCATCGGAAAATGTACGGCATTCATTTCAATCTTTTGTTTAACATCTAAAATAACTTTAAATAATAATGCCGTCTTAAAAATGTAGTTGATATAAATATAAATGAATAATTACCAAAATTTGGGGGTGCAATATCATTTTCTTACAATAAAATCATAAGATACTATACGGCAATCAATTTTTTTACAAAATTATATTAAATATTATCATTTTACCCCGTAGCCGTTTATAACAAATGGAACAAGATGAAAATATATTAAAATAAAAAAATATAAATTTTCAAAAATTTTAAGTTTTTTAAATGTACTATTTATTAATAATAAAAGTGATATTAAAAATTATTCTTGCTATTTTATGTTTATCAAAGATTAAAAAACAAAAAAAACATATGCCGTACATTTCTATTTACATACTTTTTTGCAGCGCATAAAAATATTGATTAAGTTTTAGGTGTCTCTTACGGTTATTAAATACTGTACGGCATAAACAAAAATATATTTATAACTATAAATGATTATGAAAATTTATTATGCCGTTCATTTTACATGGAACATTACGTATAAAACGGTGAAGTTCTGAGAAATATGCAGTTAGAGTGCGATTTTGAGACTCGGTTACTTGCTGTGCGCCTGAAAGTTGACAACAAGATAATAGAACTTTGCAATGTAAGAGCGGTACATATATGTATTAATGACCTTCTTCTAATAATCGCTAATTACAATATTCAAATATTGTAATTAATGCAATTGCTAATTAGCAAAAGTACAATTTGCAATTGCCTATTAAATAATAGTATTTTTTCATTATAAAAGCTTCATAACAAAGCTTTATTTGTTAAAAGACGGATAATTTTAAATCTTATTATCTAAAAAGCTCGCGTGACTGATTTCACAGAAAATCGTCAGATTTTTATCATTCAAGTTCATTTAAAAATACTGTTACTCAACAGTGCGCACTTTATTATTTTAATTTGATAGAAAATATCGAGGGGCTACCGACACGACTAAACTGATTTAAATCACAGTTAAATTTTAAATCACAATCGAAATTTGAAATATCCTTCAAAAATATAAAGTAAAACGCGTTATAGAGGGTTTTCGAGGTTTTCCCCGTGTGGCCATATATTCCACGAAAAATGTACGGCATTATAAAAATTGTCGTTAATTTATCAAATACTATTAAAATTATTTAATTTTAAGTTGTATCAATTCTCCACCATTATACTATATAAGGGTAGGGGGTTGCGACCCAAATTTTCTCACCCCTGTACCAGCAGATATGTACGGCGTTGGTAAATTTTAGATGTAAAAAATTACAGAAAGGTAACTGTAACAATGCCGTACGTTAATTAATTAATTTTTCGGCATAGAACATTTCCTGAAAATTAAAATTTTTTTATGGCTTCCGGCACCATTATTTCCGTACGACACTAAGTGCATCGTGATTATTTTGTTGGCATCTGTGATACTAAAGAAAGCCGTAAAAATCATTTAGTCTTTTCCGACCTCTTCTGGACAGAAAATTCAATTTTCCCCTGTACTTACATGTACCGCTTTCAAGTGACGGCATAGTGCTAGAAGTTATTTTTTCATGTAATACTATCGTTCTGAGTAGGTTTCCTGCTGTATCACATGACCCCCCATTTTTGTCCACAGCTCCCGGTCTATGAAGGATTAGGTTCGGTACAAGTTAGTCCGCCTGAGGAAAAAGTTAAGTACGGGCATGTCCGCTAAGAATATAGCCCCATCAATTTGATAACGCTAGAAATTTATATAAGCACCAGTGATCAAACAATAACTCGAGATCGAAAGCGCCAGAGATGCAGCCAGAGTGTATTAAGGATTTTGTTAATATACAGAGAAATCAATACACCACTGACGTCGTAATGTTTAAGAGAGAGAAACGCGAAAAGCATGCAATACGTATGTTAGAAAGATATAGAAGTACCACGTTGCCTAGCAACGCGAGTGACGAGGCCGCGGGCGCAGCTACGGCTTGCCGCGTTGCCATCGTCGCAGTTGTTCTAACTTACACATTACACGATTATCACGCTTCTCTCTCGTACACATCACACCGTCAGTGATATTTGGATTTCGCTATATTATTTAATAAGGTTTAGGGGAAAGGTGTGAAATGTGTACGAGGGTTGGAAGTGTATAAATATACTGCCGCCAAAAGATATACACTATTCTAAACTGTACAACCCCCAATCCTCAATTTTTAACCCCTACAAAAATTTTTCCGAAAATGATCAGTAGCCTCTAAAACGTCAAAAGTCAAAGTTTAGGTGATATTCATTTTTTCGTCTTTCGTCACCAGCTTAGCCCAGCAATTGTAAAGTCTTCTCGTCCTTGGGATAGTAATCTTGTGTGGACATTTCAACAAAATTAATCCAGTACTTTCCAAGTTATAGACGGGTCAAGGATCAGCAGACAGTCAGACCGACACACAGACCGACACTAAGGAGCGACATGGGTTTTTGTGAGGTGCGCGTCACATAATGTCCAAAAAACATTCTGGAAATTTTTCGCGATTACAATACGCCTTGCGTGGAAAATAAAAATGACTACTTACTAAGATCTCTAGCAATGCCTTTCTGATGCTCCATACAAGAAACTGCTTGTTCGAGGTTTCCCAAGTTGGCATGCAATTGACCAAGTTCCCCATAAGCTGCTGCCTTAGCTTCAGGTATTCCCAGTTCATGAGAAACTACGAGTCTCTTCTCTAAGCAAACTAAAGCTTGTTGCAGGTTTCCAAGTGATCTTTGTGACTGACCTGCAAATCATAACAGTCGAAATAAGTACATCTTTAAAAAATAATATTTTAGACTTCCATTATCCACTAAATTTTAAATGACACTCCCTACACGATCGATTTTGTATTTCTTCTCACCTAATCCCCTGTAGGCTCTTTCCTGATCCCTGACGCTTTTCAATTTCAGTGAAATTGTCAAATATTGTTCATGGCACTTGACAGCTTCCTCGGGGTCTCCCAAAGCATCATAGCAGTCACCTAGGTTCCCAAAAGCTCTTCCTCTATCCAGCTGAGCAGTTTGTGTACTCAGTCTTTCCAAAGTTGCAAGTTGTTGTTCGAAAAACCCTATTGCGTCTTCGTAATGACCCATGTTCAGTCTGTAAGTTATGAAACATGTTAAAATTCAGATTCTGTAGCATTTCTACTACAACGCATTTCCAAGCCTGAGACCTTTGCAGAGTAAGCTTAGATGGATTAACACAAAGCTCTCATACCTTGCAATACCCAAGTTTCCGTAGGCTTGGGCCTCAACAGCACAGTCTTGTAGCTCCTGAGCTCTTTCTAATTGCTCTTGATAGCACTTCACTGCGTGAGTATAGTTCCCTAAAGCCATATGGACAGCTGCTAGATGTCCAAGAGCTTTGCACTCTCCACTCAGATCAGAAATCTCCCTTCTGAGGTTCAGTTCTTGGGTATGGTAGCCTAAAGCCTTATCAAGTCTCTTCATCGACCGGTAGGCTACACCAAGCGCTCCACAAGCAGTTGCTTCCATGCATCTGTCTCTATTACTCCTTGCTACTGCTAGTTGTCGATGGTACATTTTTATAGCCTCTTCTTTTTCTTCCATTTTCATTAACACGTCTCCAATGTTACCCAGCGCTCGGAATTTTCCTGAAATGGAGACGTCTTCACAGTATTATTGACTTGCTGTTGAAGATATATAAGGACACCAAATCATCTATGTTTGTAAGTTACCTGCTGAGTTGTTTGTCATATGAGCAATGGCTAGGAAATACTTTTGGCACTCTAGGGAAGTTTCTAGCTGTCCTAATGCTAAATGAGCTAGTCCTAAGTTACAATAAGCTCTACCCATGTTCATCTTGTCTTGTAAATCTTTGGCTAATGCTAAGTCTTGGTCGTAATACCTTACTGCCTCCCTGTAGTTTCCTATACAATAATGAGCGTAACCTAAAACACAAATTAATTGATTATTTTATGATATATTTAATTATATTTTACATCTTAGCACCAATATTCAAATCGTATTAAACTGACTCCATGAAGGTTGCATCCATGTACAGGGTGTTCATTTGAAAACTTTCCACCACGGATTTATCGAAAACCACGGATTGAAAGAAAAAACGCCGAGGTACGCCAGAAGATTTGTCAAGGGGGCAGCTTTTTAACCAAACACTACTCCGCCCACTTTCGCCCTCTGCCCACCAGGGTCATGTCCTTCAAAGTTTTAAAAGACAAGGGGCATCGAGTAATGGCTTGTTTGAAAGGCCTTCCAAAGTCCTTTATTTTGACGTTTGATTTTTTTAAATCAATCGATTCGTTTTCAACAAAATTAGAAAAACCTTTATCCATCTTAGTTTGTTCATATAGAAAACAAAAACACTCGAAAACACCAATTTTTATTACAAAACGGTGCCCGTTATTGGCCAAATAATGATATAGGCGATGTACAAATTCCTGATGGAGATTTTCAAAAACATGTTGCGGGATATCATGGCAGCTTTCGATGATGCGTTGACAAGCTTTCAGGCTGGGGAGTAAACACAATAGATTTCATGTGACCCCGTAGAAAATCAGGAGATCTAGCAGGTCAGTAGACCCTCTTTGCCCCATCCATTTATCTGGAAACTCGTCGTCTAGCCATTGTTGAACTGGAAGAACATAGTGCGGAGGAGCGCCGTCTTGCTGGAAATATATTTCAGCCTCATCAAGTATAGGGTTTCCATCCTCTTCGATTTGGTTTTCAATGGTTTCGGTGATAAGCGGATTGATGGTATTTTCCAAGTTATCCAAATAAATTTTCCCATTCAAATTTCCACTAATAAACAATGGCCCAATCACCCAGAAGCATGAGGATTTTTATTGCTCCAATACCTGCAGTTACGCTTATTAGATAAAATGTGCATTCATCACTGAAGCAGATATTCTTTACATGCTGCAGTCATTTGCTCGCAGAACTCAACTCGCTTATCTTCGGTTAACTCTTCCAATATTTTCATTTTTAAGAGATGCAATTTATGGAGTTTAGTATCTCTGAATTTAGTAACAAGGTTCAAAACATACCTATGCGAATCTTCCCTGGATATTTGGAGTTAAACGTGACGGTAGTTTGCCGAGCACATCGATTTTGGGCAGCATAAATTCGAAGTAAAATGTGGATCAATAAATTAATTTTCACTATCCCAAGATTGTCACAAAGGTAACTGACAGGAAATTAAATTATTTCGGGTTGTTATTTGGTTGTTGCCAGGTCTAATCTACCGAATTGCTGTTTATGTTGGTAGTTTCCGTTTTAAATTATAAACGAATTGTAAATTTGGCAAACCCTAACGGGCGATATTTTGAACACTTACTGAAATAAAGAGTGACATTTTCGTGTGTTTTTGTTTTCTGTCTGAACAAATTAATATAAATAAATATTTTTATAATTTTCTTGAAAACGAATCGACCGGTTTTGAAAAATCAAACGTCAAAATAAAGCCCTTTCAAACAAGCTATCACTCGATACCCTTGTCATTTAAACTTTTTAAGGGGATGACCGTGGGAGGGCAGAGGGTGAAGTAGTTTTTGGTTAAAAGTTGTCCCCTTGAGAAATCCTTTGACGTGTCTCGGCGTTTTTTTCTTTTAATCAGTGGTTTTCGATAAATCCGTGGCTGGAATTTTTCAACTGAACACCCTGTATGGAAAATATTTATCACGATGATGGACGAAACCTTAACTCAAAGCTATGAAAAAAGAATACCTAAAAAATGGCAAGCTTTGGCTTCTCCTTCTATGTCCGATAGCTCTTGAGACAACATCAAATATTGCTCATAATAAGGAATGGCATCTGCAAATTCTGATCTAGAACTCAGACAGTTTGCTAGATTCAGTAGAGCACATGCTTCACCCGCAGTATCTTTCAATTCCCTTGCGATGCCTAAAAGATACGGTATAATACTTTGTCGAAGAATAATAAACTTCAAAAAAATTAAAACTGCCAAATCAACTCACCAAGATGTGCCCTATAATGCAACAGTGCCATATCGTGGGCCCCTAAGGCCTGATAAGCTACAGCTAGGTTCCCGTGGGTGCTGGCCTCTGAGCTTCGATCGTGCACCTCTTTGCTGATGGTCAACTCCTGTTTATGATATTTGATCGCAGATTCGTAAAAACCTGCTGCAGAATACGCATTTCCGATGTTACCATACGCCCGGCCCATTCCTGCTTTGTCTTGCAAGCTACGAGCTATTTGGAGATGAGCTTGGTGTAACTTTAGAGCTGCATCGTATTCACCTACAGATATTAAAAACAAGATAGAGAAATACTCAAACACATAATAGTACGTAGAACTGTCTAGATGCAGTGAGGCTATTGGTGGAACGGAAATGATTATAACGATTTTTTTTTGAATGGTGGAAGTGTGAACTATTTTCCTTATGGTGGATATGCACCTATGAGTTACAACAGGCGCCACAGTATGTGCCGGCAGATGTATCAGGAATTTGTATAGTTTGAATACGAATCAGCGGTGATGGCAACATGTGTCGCAAGTTGTGCCTCAGATTCCAGTTTACAACATATAAAATGCAGTAGATTATGAAGTAAATGTACCATTGTGTAGTGTAGCGCTACATCTGCCAAAGATTCTGATAGTGTGCATCTCCATTTAAGCAAGATGTATAGACATGTTGCACAACATGCGTCCGGCACGTGTGCCTGCAACTTGTTTGGGAGAAGAAATAGTGCTCAGGACACATTTAAGCGCTTAGATCACTTCCACACTATAGAGTCTAATTTTGATAAAATTGTGGGGTAGAGTATTGCATGAAAACCTCTTGTTTTAAAATTATAGACAAGTAGGTAAATGCTTACCCAATAGCTGATAAACAATTCCTAAGTTAGAACAAGCTCTTCCTTCTCCAACTTTATCCCTGGTAGCTAAAGCTACGTCTAACTGCCTTTCATGCCACTGTTTTGCTTGCATGTAGTCACCTGCACATCTAGATGCATGTCCGAGACCTGCGTAAGCGCGAGCTTCCACAGACCTGAAAATTGTGAAAGCACTAGGTAAGCTATGTTGATTTCAAAACTGACTACAAAGCTATATTTATTTATTGACCTAGAATCATTGATATCATTTTAAACAACGGTACACTTTAATACTTACTTGTCTCCAATTGCCTGAGCTATCCTCAGCACCTTCTCGTGGTAAACAATAGCTTGAGCAAAGTTTCGTTTATAATGATAACTAGACCCTAAATTGCTGTACGCTCTTGCTTCTTCAACCTGCAGACATTAGAGAATAAAGGATTATTATCACAAGGGCAAATAAAATAATGCTAATCAACAAACGTCGTAGGATTGAGCACCCTTTTCTTCGGCAATATATTTCTATTATCAGCGTAGGTATACAGGACATTGTTAGGATATCAACAAATCTGCGATATCCGACCTTGCCTTTAGCAAATGATTATGTGAAAAGATGCGACATGCGTCAATTTCCTACAGCAACAACTAACTAACTTCAAAATGCTGCTAATGCCTTTTTCCCGAACTTTTCAGTCCCGCATCGTGTGAGTTTGTTCATCTCGTACAAAGCCCTTTTATTGTTTGAACCACACGTGAGAGGGCACAACTTGGCATTTCTCATCAGATAAATAGTGAGCATTTTTATATTTTCTTTAGTTTTTTTGGTGCTGTGCAACTGAATATTAGCTTTGTTAGGAAAGTCCCAACCTTCAAAAAACCTTGTAGAGATAGGTTTAGTAGCTGTTGGATAGAGATGTTATAAATGCAAATGTTTTTTTGTTCCAAACAGCGACATGTAAGGCACATAAATTGGTGGTGCACTACTGAGAATTACCAGCGGATAGTTACCTGGTTGCCCAACCGCTTGGCAATTCGTAAATGTTGTGTATGACAATCAACGGCAGAATCAAAATCGCCCATTGCCAAGTAGACTGCCCCTACGTTACCAATTTCTCTCGCCTCTTGAAGTCTGTCCCCCATCTGTTTCACCAGTTGAACACATTGCTTATGGGAGGCCAAGGCATTGGGATAGTCTCCGATAGCAGTGTAGACATGGCCTAAGGAAGTAAGGGCTATTGCAGCTGCTTGTGTGTCCTATTGTTAAAATAAGGGGTATTAGAAAAGTAGTACAGACTATAATTCTAGATCCCACAACGCATCCCGCAAGCCATAACAAGTTAAGAAAATAAAAAACGAAGGAAAACCATGAGCATGTTCGCAATAAAGTTGCAGGAGCAGAAATAGAAAGACTAGTAGTATTGGCTTCATCAGGCCCAAATAGATGTGCATCAAGGACACTGATATATTCTGGATACGGATGTATCCCGAAGGAAAGTTGTGATAGAAGAAAAATACAGCTAGAAGTCACCAACAAGAGCCAGCAGGCCTGATGAAGCCAATAAGCAAAAGGTTACGCCGCTCGGGTTACCAATCCTTCTATATCTGCTCATGTTGATTTTCCTTTGTTATTCCGGAAGACTGCATTTTTGTTAAAATAAATGGAAATAGTAACCATAATTTCTACTACAAAGTCGTGAAAATCTCAACACACTGCGGTAGAAGCCTTAGAAGACTCTAGGATACAGCTTTAGGGACACCAGGCTAGAGAAAAATTAGGTTCTTAGCTTTATGATTCGAAGTTGATATAGTAAGCTTTTGAAATCCATAACTACAGACGTAGAATACGTACCTTGCATTTCATAGCCAGAACGAGTTGATACCTATGTGCCGTAAGAGCTTCTTTATAAGATCCTTGGCTGAAATAAGCTGAACCTAGATTACCATGAGCTCTACATTCACCAGGTGTATCCCCTAAACTTTTTGCTATTGCAAGATCTTGTTGCATATACCTGAAACAGACGCGATTCAATTCAGAAATCATAGGCGACAGACACGAAGATCGAGCGAAAAAAGGGCGTCCAGTAACGAATGCATTAGACACCCAATCTCCTGAATATACTTGGTCCAAAGTGCTTGAAACCAGTATCGTCTTCATGTTCTAATCTAGAACTACTCAGCGACATATAACATGCAAGGCTCCTCTTCTAACCTAACGAAATCAGATCTTCAGCCAACTCCATCACATGGAGGTGACATCTCACATGTTATGGCCACACAAAGATCCCATCAACTACCCTTGGTTATTCCTACCTAAAACTGGGAAAAATCTCGTTTAGTACTAGGCCCCAAAGTGAGCTCTGACGACTAAAAGAGATGTCCAGGATGTGTTACTATATATTAGTATGACTTCGAAGCCGATTCCCTTGTTTTTCTTAATTCTACTAAAACTACCAAGCTTTGCCTTTCCCGTCAATGCGTCTGTCATATAGATAGATAGATAGATAGATAGATAGATAGTCTTTATTGTCTTTTGGTCATAAATAGCTATGACATAAGACTTGTCAACATTACATATACAATACATAAGTATGCGATATGCAAAAAAGAACAGGTAGCTAATTAAAACGATAATTGAGATAATAAATAATAAACAAATAAATCAATAAAATAGTAGTCATTACAAACACAAACAAATTCTCAATGACATCTAACGAACATGAAAAAATAAATAAATAAAATAGGAGTCATTACAAACACAAACAAATTCACAATGACATCTAACGTACATGAAAAAAAAAATCTATTTTAAATAAATAAAAACAATTGAGCGCTTAAAATGTCTAGAAGAGGAGCAATAAATAGACTGTTTCTTTTCCGTTAAGCTTAATAAATAAATAAAAAGAATAAATAAATAAAATTAAGCAGTTAGGTATTCGTCGACGGTGTAGTAACACTTTTCTGATAGATATCTTCTCAGACGTTTCTTTAATGTCAACATATTAGTGCTTCTGCGGAACTCAATTGGTAGTTTATTGTAAATTTTTGTACAGGCATAGAGTGGTGATTTCTGAAACTGGGCTGTTGCGTGGACTGGTATACTTAAGTCAAAACCTATTCTGGTGTTGTAGTGCCTGTTAACTGTGTTATTTTGAATAAAACTGGTCCTATGTTTAAATGCGAAGAGAGCGCATTTATATATATAGATGGATATTAATGTTAGCAGATTATATGTTCTGAAAATATCTTTACAAGAGTCTCTTTTGTTGATATTGAAAATCAGCCTGAGTACTCTTTTCTGCAAGATGAAGACTCTGTTGTTCATGACTGCTTGTCCCCATAGTATTATATTATTGCTAAGATGCGGGTAAGCCAAGGCGTAGTAGATATCTATTAGAGCTGTTTGGGAGATGTTTTGTTTGAGTTTCAAGATTGCAAAGTATGCACTATTGAGTTTTTTAATGACATGATTCACATGTGACTGCCAGCCCAACTTCCCATCAATATGAGTTCCTAAGAATTCGGTTCCGTCTGAGAAGATATCGTTGTGCAACCGTGGTTTGCTATTGTAGAAATGCACATACATTGTTTTATCAGCGTTTAGTATAAGGCGGTTTGATACACACCAGTCGTTCATTTCTGTTTCAACTCGCTCAATTGCTTGGAGCAGGTCAACTGGTGTTGCTGCACTAACTACTACTGACGTATCATCAGCGTAGTTGACCATATGGCCAGATAGTTTTAGGTCGTTCATAAACAAAATGAACAGGAGTGGCGCTAGTACCGAGCCCTGGGCTGCACCAATGCTTATGTCATACACCCCCGACGAAGAACCATTCACTCTTGTTTTAAGCTGTCTGTTTGATAGAAAAGAAACAAGCCAGCGTAAAAGAAAGTCCCTAATACCGAGATTATACAGCTTCTGCTCGACGAAGTTTATGTCTATTATATCAAATGCCTTCGAAAGATCGAAAAACAAGCCTGCAACATATTTATTAGAATCAATATCCTCGTAAACTTTGTTAAAAAAGTCAAATGACGCTGTTTCTATGGATCGTGAAGACCGGAACCCATGTTGACTGTCTGATATGGTGTTATACTTATTTAAAAAGCTAACGATTCGTCTAAGCAGGCACTTTTCTATAATTTTTGATATAATAGATAACAGAGATATAGGTCTGTAGTTCTCTATATCAGTCGGATCTCCTTTCTTAAATATAGGAATTACAATGGCAAGTTTGAGACACTTTGGAAATTTACCTTTCAGCACTGACTTATTTATAAGCTGTGAAAGTGGAGTTGATATCTCACATTTTATAGTTTTCACCACTCGCGTTGATATGTCATCACTGCCGCAGGATTTTTTATTTGGAAGGTCATCTATTATTTCTATGATCTCTGCAGCCGTAACTTCTTCATAGACCATCGAGTTCGTAGAAAGTCGCTGAACTGTACAATGCGATGCCGGCATCCCTTGAAAGTGCGTTTCCAACTTCGTATGTGCTATGGTAGCAAAGTATTTTCCGAATTGATCAGGTATCTCGAAGTTTGTAATTTCCTTGGGACAGTGTTTGATTGCAATATTTCGTTGCGTCTTCGCCCGTCCAATTTCCTGATTTACTATATCCCATATTCGTCTGGGCTTATTTGTAGCTTCCGAAATGGTATGTGCATAGTATATCCTCTTGGTTGATGATATCAGCCTTCTATGAACTTTTCTCTGTTCAAGGTAAAGTTGCCTGAGTTCCTGACTAGTGTCTTGCCTTTTCCATGAGGAGTACAAGGATCTTAAGTTTTGGCTAGATTTTTGTATCTCAGGAGTTACCCAAGGCTTTGAATTTTGCTTTTTTTTTGAAATACCATACTTTCGCCGGGGACATGTTATATCTAGGTGCCACAGGATAGTGTTGATAAATTGTTCAAATCCAGCATCAATATCTTGATCACTGATATCCCATGCTTCTTGGGCTAACTTGGATTTGAAGGTTTTCAGGTGGTCAGCGTTTATTTTTCTATGGGTGTAAGCCGAAATATTTGATTCCTTACGGTGCTCTTCCATTATGGGCGATGTAGTTAGTTCTAAGAGTTGCGCTGTATGGTCTGATATGTGAGGTTCAAAGACTGTACACTTTAAATGGTTTACGTTAATGTTGGTAATAATATAGTCTATTGCTGTTTCCGTTATTTTGTTGTGTTTATTGATAGCTGTACGAGTAGCTCCATGACAATGGTTAAGCAAGTTAAAAGATGCTAACAGATCTTGAAGCAGGTAATGGTTCATGTTTGGTTTCAAGTTGTCAATGTTTAGGTCTCCACATAGTATTATTCTATTATTATCGATTAGAACTCTATCCAGGATATTTGTTAAGTTACCCAGAAATGTTGATACTTCGCCAGATGGTGATCTATACAAACACATTACCGTGATTTTTTCCTCTAAACCATTTATTTGCAGAGTTATTCCGCAGACCTCTATGTGTTTCTCTTCTGATTGGTGGTTGATAAATGGTATACTTTTAGCAGCCAGCTCACATTTAACATATATGGCGCACCCTCTATATGTATGTATGTCCTGGTGAGATGTGTGACTTTAATACTAGCCTTCTTATAAGATAGGGTACACAATAACTTTGCAGTAACGACTGGCTATTGGAGCAGTTTGTTATTCTTCTCATAGATGCATCCCACTTCTGAATGAAGAATAACAAGACATCCGTGGTATGAATTTCTGCTTGGGGATTATGAGCTGCCTAGGTTTGCCCATAATGTGTAGCCAGTCAGAAACTTGACAGTAAATCGGACTAAAACCGACGTTCACCTTCACCTCGCAACTTTTGTTTTTCTTTGCTTGGCGATCTGTTAAATTAAAAAACTCCGCATTATCTAGTACTCACCCTATAGCTTTGTCCAACTGATTCAGTGCCCAATGTGCAGAACTGAGCGCGCTGAACACAGAGCCTCTCAATTTCAACGAACAGGATCCTATTCTTAAGGCTGACTCCAGCACTGTTACAGCGGAATGGTAAAGCCCTGCCGCTAATAGCTCCTAATCAGACATAAAACATTTTTCATTAGCGGATACAATAACCTTTTCTCATGCTTATATTTGAATTACTTGGGTAAACAAGGTAAGGATGCGCTTTTTATGCTTTAACTACTGTGGTGGCCAGTAATTTTCTCTCGTTTAACAGAACAGGCTTTGTCCTTAGGGTATGCTGCATAGCACTGAATGAGATGCCAGTTTGCTCAGATCGTTCATATTTATTTGCTATTAAGTTCTTCAGTTATCGTTTGGAAACGTATAACATTGCCATTTTTAACAAATGAAGTTTCGTATAAAATTTCACGTCTAAGTAAGAATTCGAGTGTTTGCCTCCCAAGATCGTTTGCAAAATACCGTAGGGATTAACCACTTAAGCATTATTGGACCAAAATATTTCCTCCGCTCAGAATTCTTAGGATGCCCTTGGAGATTCTTAGATCTCTTTGAAAATCCTTGGATCTCCTTAGATATCCATGGATTTTCCCAGATCGCTTTGTATGTGCACCAAACAAAATCGTGTGGTCGAGGAAACTTCACTATAATCAGCAACCATGGGCTATAACGGAGACAAAATCGTATCTCGTGAACCTGAGTAGATAAAAGATTAACTGGGATCTCTTTGAATTGCCTCGTATGTCCTTGTACTGCGATAGAAAGTGTTACCAGCCCCTTAAAAACCGGCCAGCTCAACAATTATACACACAAACCGTTATCTTATAATGCACATACAAAAACTAGATGGTTGAAGAGTAACCCCCATAAACAGCGGTTTTGGGTTAAAGATGAAAGTGTATAAAGCTTGGTGGTCAGAAACTAACCCTAAGTGCCTCAGAAGAGATGGAGGGGGTTACTGGTAAAAACAGTGAAAATAGTTGGAACTTAGAGCTCTTCGGATATCGAGATAATTTTTAGGGACTATTTTTATAAACAGAGATTGCTCGGAGCTTCGGAGCCACCCCTAAGTGCCTCGTGGAAAGGATGAATATGTGGGTAAAAACAAAAACAACTGTGAAAAATTTGGAACTAAGTAGTTACAGATTTGTTCGCTGTTTTTAATTGAATTTCATCCATTTTCTCCCCTTTTCAGGCACCTAAGGGTAGTTCCGCTGGCTACAGTTACTGAGCGTTATCTTATAACCATTAAGAAAATAATCCTCAAAAATAATAAAAAAAACGGAGGGAACTAATTTTTCAAGGCTTTTAAATGATTTTTCAACCTCTTCAACTGCTTTGAAACACACAGAGGTAAAAGCGTTATCTCCTCGCCATTTTAAAAGTAATCTCTAAATCTATCGGAATTCAAAAGTAATGTTTTTTATGTTTTTTATCTATTTTTTAGCCCCTTCCACCCCTCTCCAGGCACTTTGGACTGTTTCCGGATGATCAAACTTAATACGCATTAGTTTTTTATCCAAAACAAGTACGTAATTTATGTGAAATAATTCCGGAAATGCAGGGGAAATGCGAAAAAAGTGTCGAACTCTCAAAGTCATAAGATTTTGAGGTCATTTCATCAGCTAAATAGAGGTAATTTTTCAAAAAACAAAAAGGAATGCCTCTGTTGGTATTTTATTACAATTCTGGTAAACCTCTTTAGTCACTCTCTGATGCAGCAACTTCTTGAGCTACGAAAGTGTGACCTAATAGAGTTATCTCTAAATATATGTATTTGATTATCTCGTGAACCGTGGCCGTTACGTAATTTGACTTTCCTGTAATCTAGAGAAATATGTTTTGAGAAATACTTGGACTTTGAATATCCCGATGGAGATACAGCCGCCTCACGCATCTCATCCGAAAGGTCATAGTTCACGACATAAGCCTCTATGCTAGAATATATGTAAATCAACGCCTCTACTTACCTGACCGACAACAGAAATAAGGACAAAAGGGCTTTGATCAAGTTTCATGAGTTCCAGCTGGCTGAATGTGGGTTCTAGCGTATGTCTGAGTGGCGATTTGATTGAAGCTTCTACCAAAGCTGATAACAGTTGTTGATTCGAAGGGTCTTGGGCCAAACCTTGGCTGAAGCCAGCTAAGGCCTCGCCGTGCCTTCCTAGGCATTGCAGTGCCACACCTTGCCTATAATAATATAGTGATTATATATTTTATTCCGTCTGAAACAGAGTGATGCACAAGTTATCCTTCACAAAGTATCTGGATTGCAAAATACAAGATACTTTTAAAATAAGTAATTCAGATACTAGATATAATATTCTTTCTAGAATGGTATTTGAAGTATTGGATTTAAAATACGTATCTTTTAAACAATTTTTAAAGCTAAAATATTTTATTGAGTTTGAACTTATTTTATTACATGAATAAAATATTCATTAAAATAAAACGAGTTCTTCGAACATTTTATCATTCATTTTTATTCGATGAGACCTCGCTAACATTCGCCCAAAAAGGAGTCGCTCCTTAGGGGCATAACTTTGCAAACAGGTGTTATATTTAAAAAATATCTTTTATTATACAGTCCTCTAACAACATGTAATAATATTCGTCTTTTGATCTTTTTTCCAAGTACAAGATACAAAATTAATTTTAAAGACGTATCTTAGATACAAGATGAAAATACGTATTTTGTATCTTGTATCTGTATTTCAAATACTTGTATCTTGAATAAGTCACATCTCTGCTGAAACAGTTGTGAAGGTGAAGTCTAAACATCGTGGTACCACTGCCCTAAAAACCAAGGAGCAATCGTGTCAACTAGTTTCCATTATACAGAGTTTCACAGAATTATGTTGAGAAACAAAAGCATAGACAATCATAGAGCGCAGCGATATCATGCATGAGGCGTCAAAGGACCAAATTTCGTTGACACAAGGGTAAAAACCGAATGTACACTTTAATGCCTCTTATTAGGCATTAGTGTCATAACAGCGTTAAGCTACACCAAATTACTACGTACGCAGGTAGTTTTCAGAGTCTCTCGTCAGAGTCGCTACAAGTCTTTTTCTCTCCAGATTATCCAAAGAGATGTGACATTTGAAGTATGCATGATTTCTGCTCAATCTGAATACGCAAAGTTGGGAATCGGATTTATCGTGCACGTTAGAAGGTCATTAATATGTAACAGAAACAGTGCTGGAGCTAGCACCAATCGCTGGGAAACATCCGCGTTAACGTTGTGGAATGAAGAGGAGAACCCGTAAATTACGATGAATACTTTGCATCTATCTAAAAAGCGTAGATTATAGTGCTTGCATAAAGAAGCAACTAAATTTCACTGTGTATCTGCAAACCCTAATTTTCAGTTCATGCTTCGTTATGATGCAATAAATTGCGTAGCTTACTCCTAAGGAACCCCGTATCAATTATGACAAATGTTGAATGGAGGCTAAAGATCTAAGTGAGGATTCTTGAAAAAGCAAATACGCGTGCATTGAATAATAGGATTAAATACACATTAAATAGTTTTTATTTTTACAAGTAATGCTCCAATATGGATATATATATCAGATAAACGCTTTTCACTTATTTCTGTCTGTCTGTCGCATCGTGTGCGATTTGGCGTTATTTTACTTGCATAATCTCGGAAACGATTTGGATGAAAGGGGAGCACCATGTTGTTGGTCATAGTAGGTAATGCTACTCCCCTAGTTCCTTCTTTTTTAAAAATGGCTGAGATAATAGCGTATTATGAGCAAAAAACAAAACAGCTTCAATCATTAGCATTATTTTGACTTACAAAAACAATGATTTTCATACAGCGTTTTATACGTATGGAACTTGAAGTTAGGCATAATTTGAATGCGTGGGAAGTAGCGAAACAATCTACTTGACACTACTAACTCTTTTATTAAATCTTCCATAGCGAAAGACAACTTTAACGTTTCGAGATTTTCTCCCGCTGTTGCAGTTATAATTTGAAAGGCAAAAATCGGAAGCATGCTGTTATTATATAGGGAAGCCCCAGCTGATATGATGGAATGAGGAACTTTAATTTATTCAATGCAGCCATCTTTAGGACAATGATGGGCGTTTATACCTAAAATGCGCTCAACAGAGGATTGACGTGTTTTTCTTTTATATTGGATATAGGTAGTGGAGCCTCCAGTTGGTGCAGACTTTGTAGTATTTGAATATATCCTAGTTTGCTAGAAGTTCTGTCGAATTTATTTATATAACTAATATTTCGGGATAACGTAAGTGCCTTTTTAAAAAATATTTATTTCCGAAAATACAGTAGTTGATGGTACGAAAGTTAGATTAAGACTAAATTTTAATTATACAAGTACAATGCTCGTTAGCATGAGTAAAAACAGGAAACATATCATGTTGCATTTCAACGGTTGCTAGGCGCTGCGATGATGTGCTGACTTGCATTTTCTATTTTCTAGCTTCTACAGGGTAGCCCTATAACTCCTCCACCCCTAGAATGAAGCTTCTCCTGGAAGATTCAGTTTCCTGGAAGGTAGCTCGATTTCTTCTGGATCATTTGTATGTGACTCCCTTGGAATTGGAGCAGGATGTGTAGGTGCATTCTTATTCTTCTTGAACCTTCGATAAATAAGTAGAATGCCCATAGACGTGAATAAAATGTATAAGATAATAGTCCAAGCACTGGGTGTGATATAATCGATTTCTTCAGATTCAATTGGGTTGAATGACTGTACTGGTTGATCTCTGGTATAAGTTCAATGTGATTTTCGATAATCTTGACTTTGGTAAGATGACAACTGTTGGCGTTCTCATTTTTCAAAATGTTGGCTTCACAGGATTTATTTGTACTAACTTCGGCTTGACGAGGACAGTGGTATATATTGCTTTTGGTACAAATGCTACTTAGAGGTTTGATTGATTGTTTATCAATCGATGCCAAAAGGTATTCGAAATTTGGAAAAATCGACATGAATTCTGACCCATATTTTGTAGGTATTGGGTGCATGTAATACAATTCAAATGTATCGTTGAAGTCAATTGGAATAGATAAGAAGTAAATAATTTGATTGAAATCAATCTTACAGTGTACCTTTATAAGTGATTCAAAATCTAACATATTTTCTAATTTGACATCATAAGGAAGCATATTTTTATAATGGGAAGATAATCTCAAAAGTTCCTTATGTAATTCGCTTGGTCTGATAATACTCGGGTGCATAACTCCTAACTTGCAGAATGTAACAGAATTTTCAATATCTTGCAATGTACTGAGAATAAAATTGTAAAGCATTAAAAGTGAGTGATAAATGTCCTTTGCAAAAAGAATATTTTCATTCATAGTGCTTGCATACGCAATTTCGTTCAGTTGCAGTATTTTTGACTTTGATTTTCATTGTGATGAATATTTTGAAGAGTGAAGTTAAAATTTTCGATCAGCTCGTGATTCACAGAATACTGTAATTTTAGTTGATTTTCAATGCTTTTCTCATTGTTCTGCATGTGATTAATAATTTTGTAAATTTTTTCTCCGTCATGTGAATCTAAATTACCTGTTATGAATCTAACTACACTACCAATTCCATTAAATAAACCTCTACGTGATCTATTATGGGCAGTATAATGTATACGAATATTTTCTATTTTTCTTAAAATAGATTGTTGAGTAATGTTAATCATTCTACCATAATCTTCGAAATCTGTACCATACTTATAGATCTTAAGCTTAAAATTATCGTATTGGTTATTTAGCTTATTATATTCCTTATATAAATCTTCTAATCTATAATAGTGTACGAGGGTATGCTCGGAAATTTGGAGTTTAGCTGGTCCTAAATTTATTGGTAGTATCCCCAAATTTTGGCTGATATCCTTTATTTGGATGGCTTGTGTGCTGGTGAAGAACCTGTAAATGATTTTTTATTCTCAGAAACCTTTCTTGGTCTTTTGATGTTTGACAAATGAATTTTATCAGTTGTATTGCCATGTGTTGGCTTAATTTTGGCGGTTTTAAGATTTTTATCTACTTTTGAAATACTTTCAGGCTTATACTTATTACGTGTTTTGCTCTGTTTCTGTTTGTTCTTAACATATACTTTTTCTGAAATAGATGGTAATTGTTCACGATTTTCGTTCAACTTACTAACAACTTTTACCTTATTCTGCTGTAAATCGGAATTTAATTTACTATACAACATGTTCATTTTTTCTTTGTGAATGTCCTGTTATAATCTCATAAGGCTTCAAATTTGTAACAGAATGAATCGTATTGTTATATGCTAAAACTGCGTAATTGACTTTAATTTCTATAGGTTCTTTCTTAAATTTTTCCTGGTTATTTAACAATCTAATATGTTCAATTAGAGTAGAATGGAATCTCTCTATCATTCCATTAGATTCAGGGTGTTGAGAACTTATAAAATGAATATCGATTTTGTGCATTGCTAAGAGTTCTTTAATGACTGAGTTTTTAAATTCTATACCATTATCTGATATGATTTGCCCAGGTATACAATGGTGTGTGAAATACTTAATCAATTTATTTGATATTTCTGTAGCCTGTGCTGAGTTTATCCTATATGCTTGGGCATATTTCGAAAATGAATCGATAATTGTCAAAAATTTAGATTTTTCTAATGTTATGCTATCTATGTGCACTATTTGGAAAGGCCTTGTGCCTGTTGGAGTTACGTTATAAAGCAATTTAAGAGGATGTCTGTCATATTTTGTAACTAGACATGTTTCGCATTGATTAATAAAATCTCTAACAGTATTGAATAATTTTGGAATATAATAATGTGCCTTAATTCGCTTTTCAGTTTCTTCGATACCTCTGTGATTAGTTTTTCCTTCATGGTGATTTCTAATAATTGATTCTACTTCAGTGTCGTCTGTGATATCAATTAATTTCTTCGTGCACTTTGTCATATTGATTTCAGAATTTTTAAAATACTTCTGTAATACAGAACAGAATTGTTCGTAAATGGGATCTTCAAAGTAAAGATGATATTTAATTTTTGGTGCAACATATTCCTTAATAAAATTTACCATTTCTTGTTCATAATTGTCTTTAGAAAACTGAATAAGTATTCTCTGCTTATCCTTGAATAATTTTATGATAGAGGGTTCAGCAGGTGAAAAATTTACTTGTGAAATAATGATCTGATTTTTACCATAGTTGACTGGAGTATCAG